CGTGTCATCCCTCACGAACTCATAAGTCGTGACCATCTTTAGAGTTTTTCTAGGCATCTAGGAAATTAAATTATATTGACGTCATTGCTGAGAACCCGTATTTGTAATTAACAATAACAATAATCTAGGAATAATTCAACCGTTATATTTAAAAACGAAAAGACCAATATCGAAAGTAAATTATGGTGACCTTTCACGTTTAGATACCAGAAAAGCCAGAGCAATGAACAATATTATTACAAGTACATGACTAACATTTTAATTTACCTTGCCGCGACTGTTAGTGCAGAAATGTAAAAACGCACACATGCACATTCCTCCCAACAGTTCACTTCTCATTATTATTATCAGTGTTATCACATGGCAGTTTCTGAGCTGAATTCAAAATAATAGATTGCAGATATTTTCTCATGATGATAGTTAATCACTTTGGTATCTTCAAAAGGATTCAAATTATGATAAATTAAAGCTAATTTAAAATCATCGTGTGGCACACCTTAAAAACCTAGTAGAAGACTCTAAATGGCTTTTATTTGATTGCTTTAACATATGTAAATCACAGCAAATTAGATCCACTAGAACAAAATCAAACACAAGATTAAATCAGTATAATTCGATATATCGATCAACAATTTGTAAATGATATATTGCGACTGGTTGTGCAGGCAACATTTAATTAGTAATTCAACTAATAAGTTACCAAGGTTGAGGAGTTTCCGGTTTGAGCTACGTCAAGCCATTTTGATGGAAAGCAATCAAAACTTATTATCATGGATCCCATCTGTATTGGTTTATAAATATTGGATTGATAGTTTGCAGTAAACCTATTATTATATTTTTAATTGTTACATATACATAATTAGTTGTTTTTAAACATTACCGCATTAGTATTAATGTTAAGACTAATGAAAATCCGTACCTGATGAACAGCTTGAATTGAGACGGGTCGTATACTTTGGTATAATCTTTTAATAGGTTTTAAAAATAGTATAATATTTTATTTTTATTAAGTAATGACGTTTTAACATGTGATGAGGAGCATGATGTAATGGTTGCAGGTGCTTACAAAGATTTTTTAAAGAAGCCTTGGCGATTTAAAAGAGTGATGGAGAGTTGATTGCCAGTTCTTCTCATCCGTTCTATGCCATTGATTTGAGAACTGGCAGTAAATGTAAATTTATTCCATTTGAATACGCGATCATTTCCATACAGTTACTGAACTGATAAGTATATAGGTAGAGTTGACGTCATTATTTAGTTTTCTATTTGTTCTTCGAGTTGTCAGTTATAAGTGAGTGTGTATAAGGCAATTTAGGTACCTACCTTAAGCTACCTATATCATATAGCAATAGAAAGTTCTCCGCGTGACCCCATGCCCTAGAAGTGGACTCAGGGTCTGATAGTGAGAAACACTGACCCCCATGCCCTTAGTCATTAAGCACTCCTCAGGCCCTTGCTACTATTAATACTACAACGGTATCAATATAACTTTTATGCGTCTTGGCATTTCTTTGATCATTTTAAGTTTTTATAAACAAGCAGGTGATTAGCATTCCATTCCTGACTAATATCGTCGATACTTTACTGTTCTAAAAGAAAATATAGTAGACATAATATGTATTTTATATGCAGTAAATAGGTAAAATGTAAAGACTACATACGCATTCGTCTTTTTGGGTGTAGTCAAGGAATTTAAAATTAAATATTGTTAAATTATTTTTTATTTCGTTAAATGCCTTATCCCATTTCATAGCAGCATATCTTTTTAATCGTAAATTAAGCATAACCGGTGTTTTACATATACTGGCCGTTGACGCAGTAATATGTCTATAAATTACAAGCGAACATTCAATTTAACGGGATTTTTAGGAAAACCATATTTGAAATGATTTAACAAAACTGTAAAACTGCCTATAAACAAAACAATTGATACATATATTGATATCACGACATAAGTATTTCTATTCTCTAGACACGTGACTAGATCTGTATTTTCTAATTGAAACTAAACACGGATAAAAAAATTCTCGTGTCACAATGTTCATACTCCTCCGAAACGGCGCGATTGATTCTTATGAATTTTTTTATGCATATTCAGTAAGTCTGAGAATCGGCTACTATCTATCTTTGAAACCCTTAAATGTTAAGGGTGGGCCATGGTGGGTTTTTTATATACATACATACAAAATAGTATTATGTATGTATTTACATACAAGTTACAACTCTTAATTGTCACCACTCTACGATCAACCCCTATTTATTATAGTAGATAGTTATTTTTATTGAACTAAAAAATTGTTTCCTAGAAATAATATACATACATGGCAAAACGATGTGTGCCGGGTCAGCTAGTATATATTATATATGTACGTAATAGGAGGGGTGAGGCCCCAAGATACAAAGATCAGCAAATAGGCTATGTTAGATATATTAATTATAATAGATAATATACACATTATCCTGTTTTATTATCTAAAATTTTATTACCTAAAATTTTATTACCTAAGTTACCCTGTGAAAATAATACGTCAAACCGGCTTAGCGAGCTCTGCGGTCTATCGATTAAAATTCCTTCACGCCACTTATCAGATGATGAATATAAAAGCTTGATCTTCTAAATAAACTGCTCAAAGTGATCCATCGTCAGATATTTATCGATAATTACAATGAATATTTTAATTAAAAATGCCTTAACTTTTCTTATACCTGAAGAATGCCGTTTAATTGATTATAGTTGTGCTTATAGGAATTCAAAATTACTTTGTATTCTTTGGGCCTTAAAGGCCGATCGTGTAAGCTGACAATCATAAAGGATAAAAATAAATCCGGTAATTAACAAAAAAATATATTGGACTTGGAAATTGGCAATTTTATCCACGTAACTAAAATTTAAAATATCACCAATTAAAGTTACAAAAAAACTTATTGGCTAAATTGCCGTGGATTGCTCAATTATTCATGCACAGGAATGACTATAAGATGTTATGATTTAATTTATATAAATGATCTACCTTTCATGGTAGAGAGAAAACATCAGATAGTTTTGTTTGCTGATGATACGTCCTTGATTTTTAAAATCAAACGACAAATAACAAATTTTGACGATGTGAACAATGCTCTGTCTTCGATTGTCCATTGGTTTAGTATGAATAACCTTCTACTTAATGCAAAAAAGACAAAATGCATTAAATTTTGTGCAAAAAATGCAAGGGTTATGGATACTAGACCAATTATAAACGGTGAGGAATTGAATCTGGATGATACAACTGTATTTCTCGGAATCACCATGGATTCAAAACTTCAGTGGTCCCCTCATATTAACGGATTGGCGAAGAGACTTAGTTCTGCAGCCTACGCGGTTAAAAAAATTCGCTCACTAACTGATGTCGATACAGCTAGACTTGTTTATTTTAGTTACTTTCATAGCTTAATGACTTATGGCTTATTATTATGGGGTCATGCTGCTGATGTCGAAACTATTTTCATCCTGCAGAAGAGGGCTATTCGTGCAATCTATAATTTAAAATGTAGGGAATCTCTTAGAGATAAATTCAAGGAAATTAATATACTTACCTTTCCCTCGCAATATATTTATGAAAATATTATGTATGTATACAAAAATAGTGATAAGTTTACTAGAATAGAACATACGCACAATGTTAATACACGGAACAAACGCAGGCTGCAATTTCCCCGTACTAGACTATCTAAAGTTAGTAATTCTTTTTTGGGGAAAGGGATACTCTTCTTTAATAAAATCCCAGAGGCTCTTTTATCACTGCCTTTCAATAAATTTAAGAAATGTATTAAAGAAAAAAGGCTTACTATAAAGTCAACGATTATCTAGTTGATAAAAGGGCCTGGGACTAGTGCTAGACAGGCTACTTCTAATCAATTTGCGATATTTGTTTTAAATAAGTGTTGTTTGATGATTTGCTGTTTTAAAAGAGTACCGAGAGTTTTTTACGCCGGCTTTTTCTCTCGGCCTACACCCTCTGTCTTCTTTGCCGATGAGTAGGGATGCCTTCAAATTTAATGACGTGGAATAAGTGATACATGTATCTTATGTTCCATAATAAACATATTTTATTTTTTATTTTATATATATGCTGTGGGCGGGCTATGATAACATATAAAAACTGTTTCGTAAATAACAATACAAATTACATAACAATAACAATCACACTATTATGCTATTGTCAGTTTATGTCAAAGTAGCCGTAATAAGCATAATTATGAAGTCTTCTAGTTTAAAAGCTATGTTGTAAGTTTTCTTCGTTTAAAATAAATTCTGCGGTAGAGTGACGACGCGCACAGTGCTGGTTTCTGCTGTACACGTTATGGTCTCGCACTGATGATGACCTCAAGAAATATGAATTTTCGATACTCGGATTGATACTAACTTCAGAAATCATGTAATTTTATGGAATCATATTTTATTGTATTGTATGGTATTGTAGATATAATATAGACTGGTACTTATAGTTTAATAGTCAACCCTTATTTTCCATTAAATCTCTGTATTTTTCAAACCAATCAGATTTTTATACACACATTGAAAAAAATATTGCATGTTAAAATGCAGGCACTATTCTATTGTATTACACCAAAATTCAATAATAATCGTAACACTGCATATTTAGAAAAAGCATTAATTTAAACAATATCACTTAAAAATATTATTTATTAAAAAATTACCATTATAATTTTTTTAAGTATTATCTTTACGTGAGTTTATTTGCCTACATTGCTTCTTCTCTAAGAACAGCAAATAAGTTTGGTAATTTTGTGCCTCATCGATCTTCAATGCTCGCAATTTTATAATTACTACGATTATTATTTTTATTATGATATAGATATTATATTACTACTAGCAGTCCCACAGACATTGACCTGTACGCACGTCTTAAATACAAATTTTACAAAGGTTTTTAAATAGGTAATCTGCTTCGGCATCAGTGAGCAACTAAATTAAAGACTTGCGTTTTTCATTGCAGGGCATGCGCGGGTGGTGTGCGGCGGGTGCGGGCGGTCGGTGGCGAGCGCGGTGCGCCGCCGTGCTGCTCGCGTGGTGCGCGCTCGCCGCGCTCATGCTTGCCCCGCGGCTGCAGACGCCGGCTACTGGGAGCAGACCCGCGCGACCTGCACGCCTCCTGCTGCAGAGCGAGCCCACCGCCTCCACGTCCGCTCCTCCATCCTCCCTTGCCCCCGCTCTCCCGGCTACCGACACGCGAGTTCTCACAGAAGAAGAGCTGCGTGCCGATGCGGAGCGCCGACTGCCGTCGCTACCGCTTTCCTATTGGCACAAGCACAAGGACGACAAGAACAAATTCTACAAGAAAAAGGACTGTGCGCCCTTCCCCTCTATATACGACATCGAGTTCCATAACACTTATTGGCAGACTTTGCGCGCAAAGGGTGAGGTATTCCATCTGTATGGCGCGTACATGGATGCCCGAAATGCCTCACGAATCGGACCCGCCGTGCGCGTCCTAGCTGTTCACGATCGCATTAAACCGACGCTCGCCACGCACTGCCAGCTCTGGTTCGAGGAGCGCGAGGCGCCCGTGGTGGTGAGAAACCTCGAGTACAAGTATGTGTGGAATAGTAAATGGGGCAATTACCGTGACGGCGTGCTGCAGCCTTACCTGATGGCCTGCGTGCTTCCCGCTGACGTGCGTCACCTCGTACCGGCCTCCGTTTCACTAGTGGCCAACCCCTGCGACCGTGCAACTAACAATTTGCGCGTACACAACGACCGACCTCCAACGCCGGCTGAACGTAAAGATTTTGCAGTCTGCGTGAAAGGGCTGGATTTCTTACATGAGGATCTCTCGGTCAGGCTCGTTGAGTGGATAGAGATGGTGCGCCTGCTCGGTGCGCACAAGATTTTCTTCTACGAGCTCCAGGTTCACCCAAACATCACAAAAGTTTTGGATTACTATCAGGATCTCGGCGTCGTGGAAGTGACGCCTATAACTCTGCCTGGTGGACAACCTAACTTGCCAGGCTTGCAGCACATGTATCTCAAAAAGAAAACGACACATAAACGACAGATGGAGCTGATACCGTACAACGACTGCTTGTACCGCCATATGTACCAATACCGCTGGTTGGCACTGCTTGACATTGACGAAGTGATAGTGCCGCTGGAAGACGGCGACTGGGGAGCGTTAATGCGGCGTATTCTACCATTGTCAACACCCGCTTCGGGAAAGCCGCCACGCACTTCATACCATGCATCTAACCTATATTTCCTTGATTCATTGCAACATGAACACGCTTGGGAAGAGGGTGTTCCGCGTTACCTGCACATGCTACAGCACGTGTACCGCACTCGCAACTTTACCAAACCGGGCCAGTACGTCAAAGCGTTTCACGAGACGGACCGCGTGCTGGCACTGCACAATCACTTTCCTTTGGCTTGCCTTGGAGGTGCCTGCAGCTCATATGCGCTAGAGACGCGACACGCGCGTCTGCAGCACTACCGCGCCGACTGCGTCACGGCGCTTAGTAAGACGTGTGCCGATTTGCGTGCACAGCCAGTGCGGGATACAGCCCTGTGGCGTTGGCGGGAGCCGCTAGCTGCCAGTGCAACTGCGGCGCTTTCTGCATTAGGATTCCTGCCTCCCAATCGGTGACCCCGTCGCTCCGCGCCTATCCGCCTCATACGCTTAATCTATTCATACATAATATTCAACTCTAGTTATTAAATGTATTTTTATAGTTTAAATTTCGAGTTCTCATTTACTACCCCTTTAAGAATTATTAAAAAACTTTTAATGACTTGGAAATACGTGGCCTCTGCTTTTTATTCTTCAAAGTTAGAAGTTCCGATCGATTCTTCTTTTGTTTTTCACTCCCAAGTCCAACACAATTACATTTATCAGAAAAAAATAAACCTGACGATATGATATGTTTTTATGACTTACATTGAAATGTTACGTTTCACGAAAGTAAGATTTAACCGGACTTAAAAAAATATGGACTGACTACACTGTATGTAGAAATTAATATAATGATTGATATTATTTTGCTTTGTACATTCAAAGTTGTAACAACATCTGAAAATACACGATTTAAAAATCAAAAACGCCTAGTATAAATAAAATAGCAAAAATCTCGACGTTAGCTTTTGCCAGAAAATAGAATTTTCACTCCATACAATTTTTTTATTTATTTCTATATCTTGAATACTTTTATGTACAATGTAATTTTACCATCCATGTAAATAAAATAAAAAGAAAATGTTTTGGAGTAATATAGCGATAATATAAACAGTTACTAGTATCGTATGTAGGCAGTTTTCGAGCGCCTGGCATAAAATTCAGATCAAAATAGAGGCTAACACAATAACTAGGCGAACAAATATAAGTAAAAGCTTTTTAAACATGTCTTGTTTCCTCACCTTACTTCCTGACGCTAAGCAGTTTTAATTCTAACTGTAAACAATATATCTAAAATTATATACGTATATTTACTTAATCTATTTCCATAGTAATTTAGACCATGTAGGTCTAAAGTACTACAAGTCTTCTTTACTTCTTATTTTGTTATTAGTATGCTAAAGGCTGCCAACGTAGTTTAGTAAAGCACATGGTGTCTACAGTTTAACCCTTTTGGGTTCTATGCCCCGCGAAATAATACTTGCTTCCCGTTAGGAGGCATAGAAGGCCGATAAACTTGCCTTAAAACCTTCAATTTTAATCTGTTTACAGATGCAGATTTGTGCCTTTCCCATACTAAATTGGGGGTGGCCGGACCTAAAATAATATGTTGTAAAGTTTTTGTAACGCGGTTAGTAAAGCGGTTAAATTAAAGTAAGCAATAATTGTTGTGGGTTTGAAAGCACAGTGCAGCACTACTACTCTATAACGTGTTGATGTTAATTTTCATGTATTTCCCTCATTAGTAGCGTTAATGTCGCAACATTGAAATCGCTATCGCTATTGTGACTTACTGATTATCGGCGCTGATCACCTCAATGCCTATAAAGCAATGTGAAATCACCATAGACATAGTATATGTGCTCCGTGTTCAACTAACTTGTATGGATCGTTCCATAAATATTTTATAAGCAAACAACAAATAAGTACTATAAAAGTAATTAACTAATTAGTCTACCTATTTACTAATTGTCTTTGCATACATTTAATCAGTAAATAAACTTAAAGATATTATTTTTAATTATCTTCGTCATCAATTTTATATTTGACTATGTCCATAAAATTTTCTTTCCTATAGCAAACTGATCATAGAGAATAACAGACTATATTTGGTATAGATTGATTGCGAGAAACATCGAAATGACCCATTGATAAGTTACAATGGCAAGAACCGTGGCGAGGTCATTGCTGAGTAAGCACTCATTGTCAATACAACTAAATGACCAATCACCACACACAATGAAATTGTATACCGTAGTATTCATTACACAGGTATAGTTTGTCTGTACATCATTGTACATGGGGTGTAGGAACCTCTTTTTTAGATATTGTTTCTCTTGTGTTTACTTTCTTTTAATATACATCAAGCAGCGAACTTATGACCAAAGAGGTTTTATCCCTGATGTCACATATATTCCCGTGTAATAATTATTTCCTCTTAAATAAGTTCGTAGGCAACAGCTAAATTTCGGTACATAAATTAACCGCAAAACAATGACAACTGATAAACAATATATGATTAGCTATGGTAACGTGGTGCACATACTAATCAAACCCATAATTAAATTAATACATACGAGTAAATAATTATTATTAAGAATACAGTATGGGTTAAAATTCGTATGCTTTTTCATTATTGTAATAGAAATGTATTTAAATTCATGTTCTTTAACATTACAAAAATCCTGTTCAGTAACTACGATAACAATTGTTTTATTTTTGTTCTGTGATAGCTTCAAAGTTATCAATTTAAACTGAAAAAAAAACAGACGCTATCAGCACTCTGTCTTTTAGAACTTGGCGAAGATGCGGTAAAGTGTTACTGTCCCTCTTGAATGTAAAATTATTTAAATGAATTGGCCTAAAACAGGAAGATGCTTTAATATATAATTTGGTGAAACGCACAAAATTCAAATTAATGTATACAGACTGTGAGCAGTGTTGGCCTAGTGGCTTCAGCATGCGACCCTCATACCCGAGGTCGTAGGTTCGATCCCCGGCTGTGCACCAATGGACTTTCTTTCAATGTGCGCATTTAACATTTGCTCGTACGGTGAAGGAAAACATCGTGAGGAAGCCGACCCAAAAAGTCGACGGCGTGTGTCAGGCTCATGTAACAGATTCAGAAATCTGAGGCCAAGACCTAAAGAGGTTGTAGCGCCACTGATTTATTTTATACAGACTTGCAATGTCGGTTACGTTAGGTTAGCCTTAACGTCTACAACCTATACCTACCGAACCTAATCGAGTTCTTTACACTCAATATTAGTTAATAAAAAATAACGAGTATTAATCTGGTACGAATTCCTAGGTCGTGAATCAACTACTTCTATATACAGTAGCTTATGAAGTTATTATGACAAAATTAGACGCAAAGAACAGCTCATTGTGATATGAATAACTTATTGAACTCGAATACAATAAGTCATGTCCTCGAGCCATTTATGATACAAATGATCTCACTGCTCACTGGCCATCCAGTGGTATTCTACACCTGTTATTCTTACTCGTCAGACCTACTGTAACTGGTGTAAGGGGACGCACCAGATCTCTCCAGAACAGCTTCAGTCGGCTTCTTACAGGTACAAAACAATTCATTTAACTTTGTGTCCATTAAACGCTGGTGATGATTGTAGTAATATTATAAATGTTAGTAGCTGATAAATCACACGATTCTTTCGACCTTTGATATTGGCTTTGTATATATAAAAAGTAAAATCTTCTCGACATTGTTACTTTCGAATTAAAAACGTTCACTTTTCGAGCCAAAGAAAAATAATTAATTTTTACATAAAGATGTAAGAAATTGGACTCCGATCCACGGATCTCTGAAAAATTTTATTATTATTTGTTTATTATTACTTAATTTAAGTTCAACTACTAGGAACGTTAGCTAAGAATGGTGACGTCGTGCGCACCCAAAGCATCACTAAATTCTTTTTTTCTATATATGCATTTAATTAATAGGGCGAAAGAATATAATGCCGTGGCGAGACCGTCATATCTAAAACTCAAAAATCGACTCGAGTTAGACAAAAAAGTCATAGTTAAGTGCCTATTAATAAAAACGGTCAATGAAACAGATGCAAAATTCTGAAGTCATAAAAGATTTTAGCACCCCTGGATTAAATTTATTATAAACTAAGGATGACATTCGATTGGTAAAGTTATCCCAATTAGTTCCAATTTTAGTGGTAGGTACATTAAAACTTTGAAAAATGTAAACATTTCGTTCAAATAAAAATAAATAAATTACCAGTCCATGGAGTAGATTTACTATTATTACTGAATTTAATAATAATTTACACAGTATATGTTGTCTCATTACCTATCAACTGTGTAAACTCCTACAGGCCATTCAGGCTTTACACTTAAACCATTAAGAGAACTTGACATTAAGTATGATTTTAGCGATCTAGTAAGATACAAAGTATGTGCAACTGGGGCACAGGGGACAAGCAAGGGCAGGGCCAGATAAGGCCAAATGGTTGTTAATACGAGTAAACAACAATTAGCGACAGTAATCAGCAATTACTAATTAACTATCGTAGTTCCGGTAGCGCAGCTGTTTGCGTCCAGAAACCTCAAAAATTAACGAGCGAGAACAAATAACACATCGATATTATGCTTTTATTTTCCTTAATCAAGGATATGTATGTGATGCCCTGACCTTCCAGTGAAGGATGGGCCAACGCTGTAATTTTTTAACTGATTCGCCTAAAATGGTGAAATTAGAGGAGATTCAAATAAAACATTTTTATAGCTTAGCTTTTAGGACCAGTATAAAATGGTATATCAAACTTTTGTACACAACGAAATTACTGGAGGCTTACTAACGAGTATATATGTGAAAAAATAACAACAACATAGTATTAGAAAGAAGAAAGAAGAAATCGCTTTTTAGCGATAAGGCCGCCCGTTGCCTAATAACTAAGTAACCTGTTTTTTAATTTAATGTTTTTGTATAAGGTAATAAAGTGTAAATAAATAGATATGTAGGTATACATAATTGGTATATCTAATTATAAAGAGTAACGGTTGTGTAGTGGACCAATATAACCTTTCTAGTTCAAGTGTAAACTTGTAAGTGTGGTAAACAATAGCTTATCTAAGAAAAAATTATGGATTGGAAGTAATTATTCTTTTTTTTAATCCAACTATATTATGCTTTTAAAATCAAACCGACTCTAAATTAAATACAGTTCAGTTCAAAGATTCTTACTATTTTCAAATAATGAACATTTCCAATTCCAACATCCATGCTAAAAGGAAATAATTCATTAAAGATGTAATCATTCATAATTTCCATTGGAACAAATTGGTTGTCAAGTTAGAGATAACTCTTAACGGATATTATTTTTATATCGGGCTGCCAAAATGTTATGATTCTTACGTCGTTAAAATACTTAATTATAAAAATATGTCAGATAACGATACAATTGAATCATGAAAGATAAACAAGATCCTTATGTTAAATTACCGACTTTTATTTTAGTGCAATTCTGTTAAAAATTAATAATATATGTACAATAAAATGAATACATATAATCTAGCAGTAAAAAATCAGGACTTCATTAAAAATCGAAGAGATGAATGTCGGAAATGCTGTTCTGTAAATTCTATTTTAGAAAGAGTAAAATAAAGATATCTATGTTTATAAAGATTCAAGGCTTTTATATGCTTGTTTTAAATATTTTTTTTATATAATAAAATTACGTTTAATAGCTATTTTATATTTATTAAATGGAATAAATAACGTTGGTAATCACTTCTTATTCTGACAAATATGTTTTATTTATAGTAAAAGGTTTGCGTGTGAGCTGTGGCGATAATAATGATAGACGTAACCATAATAATATTGTAACACTTCCATTGTCAGTGTTCTGAATAAAATATTTAATACTATGTACAATTACATACATTTAACAATGATTTCAAACATAAGACATAGAACATAGAATTTAAAAGACACTAAAGTCGACTGTATGTCTTAATCGGTTAATAACGAATAGCGGTAATATTAAGATGAAAGGATAACAGCAGATGTTCTGTCTTTTCTTGTATGAAATACAGAAGAGTAATTAATTAAATTTAAGCCTTATGTGATAATAATATTATATTACTACTACTAAATAATTAATATAAGTGGGAAGTTGTTTTCATTATATGAACTACGCGAGCAGAGATAAAATTACAAGTTATTTCGATAATTTCATTTTAATACTAAATATTAACACGGATCGCAAAAATATATAACCTTTTCTAGGCCCAAGCGAGTCCACAACTCGTAGCGAGGCAGGAGGACGGTGGCCTGAGAGGGACGAAGTGCGGTACATACAAACAACAGCAAGGGTGATTACCTAATTACCAGCGAGTTTACACAGGGCATAGGGCACTCTGTTCAGGAAAGTTTTCCCTGGTCACTGCGCTATCGCCGTCCCCCCTCCCCTCGTACCCCACAGCACAACTTATATACCACCGTCAAAGCGGGAACTCTTCATATTATTTCGGACCTTCGTGGGACAAACAATTACAAAATGGCTCACAAGATTGCACTTCTCTTCGTCTGCGTCGTCTTGGTGAGTCAAGTTCTTTATAGCTTTGATATTTTAGTGTTTTACTTTCCGATGTAATTACCATGACCAGTGTAACTGTTTGTTATTTAAAGTTACATATTATTAACATAAAATAAATATTACATATGTTAATAATATCGAAGTCATTGAGCGTAGTTAAGTAATGTGTTTTCTACTTAGGCAACGGCGTCCGCTGGTATGGTACGTCGTGAAGCTGACTCACCGCTGAAAGATATTCAAAAGCATGCAGAGGAATTCGGCAAGACTTTCAGTGAGCAACTCAACGCATTGATTAACTCCAAGAACACACAGGAGGTCAACAAGGCTCTAAAGGACAGTTCAGACTCCATGCTAAAACACCTCTCAGAATTCTCCGCCACGCTGCAGAACGCGGTGAGTACCTATATCTCTTTTTATCTTAGAAATTATTATCTGTACACCGAGGTCAAGGATGACGAAAACTTTGATAATATTTGCGGACATGGCATTAACATTGACTGACTGATAACAATGTAAGGCGTTAACACACTGCTTATTTAGTTCCTTACCTTGGGTTTCAGCTTTCTGACGCCAACGGCAAGGCGAAAGAAGCTTTGGAAAATACCCGCACCAACATCGAGCGCAATGTAGAGGAGCTCCGCAAATCGCACCCTGAGGTTGAACAACAAGCAACTGCCTTACGCGAGAGACTACAAGGTGCAGTGCAGAATGCCCTCACTGAGACTCAGAAGTTGGCCCGTGAAGTAGCTGCGAATATGGAAGAGACTAACAAGAAGCTTGAGCCTCAAATCAAGAAAGCCTACGACGACTTAGTAAAGCAAGCCGAGCAGGTGCAGACCAAACTTCACGAAGTCGCCACCAAGCAATAGATTGTCTGGAGCAGCCCACCTCATTCCATACTAAATTTATAATAAATAGACTTTAATTTTATGTTTCTTGCTTTTATTTATCTTCATACGAGACAATGTACAAATCTAATATCTAGAAGTTTAGGATCATTCCGCAAGAAAAGGTATAAAAATTGCAGCGAAATAATAAAAAATTACATTAATTACATGGAATTTGGAAACTAACTCTGATTATTTCCAGATGGGATGAATAATTTTAAACGTTATTATAAACCGACTCCTCCGAATAGTCTTATCACGCAAATTGAATAAAATTATTTGTCATAATTTTGATTAGATTTATCAAACGTTTTAAAATACATATAGCTTTCAAAAAGTTTAGATTCTATAGTGCTACAATTACATATTACGGCGGAAGATTAAAATAAATTTTGATATTTAGCCAACAACGCAACAAGATACATCAATAATTGTTTATTCAATATGGAGACAAGTCCTCGAGTGAGTTGCAGTAATCCAAAAAATCGTACGTGGACTGGTGTGACAGTTTTTTCTGCATACCTGGTGCTTCTAATGATGGAGATTTATATTGAATTTTACGAAAATGAATTGCATATTAAAGTGTATAAGAAATTTTGTGACATATTCGCTTCTTTGACTTTATAGAAGACTATAAAGTTTACAAATGAAATATTTTGGTACTGTATAGATTTCCACTACATAGAGCTTAAACGTTTTTAAAATAATACATATATATATATATATAGTGTTTATTTATGATAGCTTATCCCTAGATATCTTAAGTACATTTAAATAAGAGTATATTTTTTCTGGACCCTAATGTACAATTTTGTCATTTTAATAAGTATTGAATATTATTTAAAAAATCTGAATCTTTTCTAATCTGATGATTCCATAGATAAGACAAATCTACCAGTTGACCTTTTTAAGAGTTTAACTGTCATAAAATTTTACAAATTAACACACAGTGTAGTGTGTAGGTAATAGTTATTTAGTATGAAATATAACTGTAGTAATTATCGGAAAGAGCAGTGTCTACCTCTTGTTATTATATTTAAATAATTCTTAGGAATTTTACTGTGGGGTCGCTCTACATAAATCCATTTTTATTTTGCAAAAGAGAGGGTAGACATTTATAATCTAGTTTCGAATTCTAGGGAATATTTAAAAGATTAATATTATGAAGTACCTTCAATTATTTATGAAAATATTATGTATTAAAAAGAATTAATTTTTTAGTAAAATAAATGAAAAATAATTTTAGTACTAGAAATAAAGATAAAATAGCTAACCATTTTAGATTAAAAGTTAAAATTCATTTATGGGGTACTTTGAAATGTTACAATAAAATACCTTGTGAATTTTAAAACTAAATGAAGAAAATTTAAATGTTTTATTAAAAGTACACTTTGTAAAAAATATTAAAATTAGATGATTATATTCAAATAAGAATGCTTGGAAAATCTGGTCTTTAAAATTTTGATTGGCTCTATAGCCTGGAAAAATCAAATTGGTTGCTGATTTTTGCTTTAACATATTTTTGTTATTATTATAATTTTTTTTTTTAATTTATATAATGCTACAAATGTAATTATTTTTTTGTATCTCACACACTGTTTTGTTGTGTTTTTTTAATATTTTTATTACTCTTTAATGTTAATATTCTAAGGTTTCGATATTTGTAAATATGTGAGGAACATGTATACTAACTTTTTTAGTATAGTAGTTTATTCTAAGAGTACATTGTCTTCACATATAATTATTTAACAAATGTAACAAAATATTGTAAACCTATTTTAAAAGAGTAAGTGTGGAGTTTCTTGCCCATTCTTCTCCACACGAAACTACCTTTTGGAAGGGGCAACTAGAATCATCTTTATATATTTTTTTTGACGTTCAAAAGTGCCATTTTAGATGGTCTAATTGAAATAAACGATTTGACTTTGACTTTGACTTTACCAGTCTACATCCTGTCAAGCATAAGTTTTTTTTTTAATGGCTCTGGCACGATTTGTGCATTAGCCAGCGTCAAGTATAGGATTTTTAATAATTCGTGCTTGTCTTTAGAAATTTGACCGTGTCCTCCATGTACGGTTTAAGCACTCGCCCGGTACCGCACAACTCTCCCAAAGGCCGAGAACAAATTTAAATTAAATTAAAACTTGCCCTCGAACCGGGAATCGAACCCGGTACCCCTCACCTAGCTGCCACTTAATAAGACCCCTCAAGCATAAGTTAGTGTCTGGTTAAAAGTTGACATTTGTCATTTATGGTTTGTAAATTCTAAATAAAAAGTGGCAGCACAGAGTGGAGGTGGCGCCGCCACTAGAATACCAGTTATAGTTAACAACCTGTACAATATACTTAAGTATTAGCAGGTAAAAGAGCGTCTAGGGACTACAGATACTTGTAAAATAAACAAAAGTATTACTAAAAACATTTATTCAGAATATAACACAGAACCCAACAGGCTATATACAGATATGCAGTCACTATGTAACTGATATATCAAATAAATAAACATAACCAGAATACTAGAAATGCGGATATAAAACAATTTAGATTGATTTTATACAGAGCATTCACATTCACACACACCAGACCAAAACCCAGATAAAATTAGCAGAAATATCAAGTACCGTTTTATACTAGACTTCTTTTATGATTTTCAATATTTACAATTCGGAAAATTCTGTGTTTGATTTTAAAATTGCTCTTAAATTAAAATTTATTTAGGCTTCAATCTATTGTCAAGAACTGTCAAAGTACCTTGACATTTAACACTTATCTATATTATTTAATCTGCTGGAGATTGAGGTCTGGTCTTTTGGTCAGCTAATTTACTTCTTAGCGAAGTCTTCTCCGGTCTTAATGTTCTTAAGTAGTTCTGGCATGGCTTCTTTAAGGAGTTGCTGCTCGTACGCGTTAAGTTTTCCGTATCCAAGATTCTTTTCAAGTCCATTTTTGCCCAAAAGTACGGGGTTAGCGAAGTATGCCGCTTCTGTTAAGTCAGATTTAACGTACGCGCATTCTACAACGTTTGATTCACCCTGTTGAAAAAAAACATTTCAATTAGCACTTTACATTGTATTCTAAAGTTTGGCTAATGAAAGAAGATAATTGAATTAATTGAAAACTTTCGGAGGGCAACACAGAATGTCATTGAATTTCTTAGGTTAGTATGATTTATTGTATAGATACTTCATTCAATTACTCATTTATATTTCTAATATATATTTTTTCCGAATAGTTAACAGGTATAATAGCCTAAACTTTGTTTTATTTGATAGAATATTTCGTTTCTTTAGCAGGATTTGATTATTCCGAATAAAGTTGTGTTTTATAATAAATATAGTTTTAGTTTTCCATGCAATGCTAGTTATTTTAAGTATCAATAGTAAAATACTAAATATGTATAGTATTTAATTTCATAGAAATACAGTTAGTATCAATGTAATACAAATAATATAATAAAATCAAGTATCAAGTAACTTTAATCCACAAAATATATCAAACTTTTAGGGATACCATACTAAAAATTTTTGAATTTGCAATTTTCGTTATCTCCTTTCATTAGCCAGACTCTTTAAGCACATAAGTTGTAGACAGGGTATGATTTTTTTAAATCTAGCAAACATGATAAACACTGCTATTACGTTATTAGTTTCGACGGACGGCTTTAAATATCTACTTTTACTTAATAAAAACACGACAAAATGGTTAAGGTTCGGATTTGGAAATAGTCGAACAATACACGAATTACGCATTTCCGCTATTAAATAGTAATAGTAATTTGAGTTTACTCTGAATTGTTGAGTTGTCCTTTGGTGTTTAGGCAGTCTTTTCTGTCTACATAAGCGAGATATGTAACTTATGTGCTGGGAATCTATAACCTTACATACTTATAAAATTTCCATAGCCAAGAGAGCTCACATATAAGATTCCATGCAAAATGTTTGGTGCATTTTAATAAGTATGACTCACAAATAATTTTATCCCCATTGATTACTTGAATGGTTAAAGCATTTGAATCGTTCAAATAATCTTTTACATATAGAAAACCCATGAGACAATATACTTACGTTCAAACCTCTTAGCAGTGCGTTGGTCAGTCTGGCACCGGCGTATGCCATCGAAAGAGTTGCTGAACCACCGCCAGCCTTGGCCTTCACCACCTGAGGCACAAATATTCATTATAAACTTAATTAAAAGCCAGCAGTTATTTAAATGCGTTTAAATATGGACAAAAGCATTTTAAATGTAAGGTAAATTAATTAAATTAATTTAGATTTGTTAAAATTTAGAAAAGTTAATTGTAGTATTTAAAATTTTTTGTCTGTCATCTCTTAAAAGAAATATTCCATAATAAAAAGGCATTATAGCCTAGTACTTAAATTGAGTAATAAACTGTACGATATTTCGTCATCTTCAACTTCATAGATCTTTAGAATCCAATCACAACTTTGGAAAATTATACAAGGTGCAATACAATGCCTAATAGTATATTTTATAGCCTTTGCTCTGAGCCATAATCGTACTTGCATTTTAATCAGATATTAGTAATCTAGTAAATATACTAAACTGATGTTCACCACAAATATAACCATGACAAGTTAATGTTGAATTATATTAAACTAAAGATATAATAAACTTACTTCAGTACCAGCCTCCTGTATCCTCTTGGTGAGCTCCTCAATCTTGCCCTGGTCAGAGAGCTTGACAGCGGGCTGGCTCTGGCTGAGCAGGGGAATAATAGTGACACCTGAGTGACCTCCAATAACGGGGATAGTGACTGACCGAGGGTCCACACCATTGATTTCACCGATGAAAGCAGCCGCACGGACCACATCCAATGTAGTTACTCCGAACACGCGTTTCGGGTCGTAAACACCTGCCTGTTAACATTACAATTTGATATTCAGTTTTCTACACTAACTTTACATAATGTAAATTGTATCTCAGAGTTTTTAATTTTGAGTAGTCTTATTATGTTCAGAATGTTTTTATGGGAGAAAAGATTTTTTGAAGTGAACTTCTTAAGGCGCACGAGGGTAATTTTTTTAAAAAACGTCACGAAGATGTGCAGCGTTTTTGTCGAAGAAAAGGGAGAGAGAGATTAAGACCGATTGAGAGAGAGTGAGAAGGGTAAATTACCTTATAGAAATTCTATTTTTAAAAATTAAAATTTCGTAAAGAGAATTTATGAAATATTAGTATGTAATATGTATATTATATTTTATGCAAAATAATTTATTGAAATCTCAAATGACGAATTGGAAATTAAAATGCCACGTGTTTTTATAATCGAAGAAATAAATTTAAAAAATTAAATTTATTTTTTGTATTAATTTTCGACACTTAATATTTTAATGACAATTAAATTCATTAAATTCCTAACATATCTTCCTTTTTCCCTCCCTCTAAGTCTCGGAAATCTAAAGTTTTATATTTGTATAAATATGTTATATGAAACAAGTGTTAAAAATTAGTTTGACAAAGAAGTTTCACTTCTGACATGTGTCACGCACTTTTTTTTTAAATATCCTATATTGCTCATGTTTTAATCAAATGGTAGAAAATATGGTATTTTTTTTAACCTTATTTTCTACCATTTCATCAAGTTAAGTAGAAATTTGTATGTATAGAAACTTGTTTAGTATATTTTTTCACAGCATAAATGTTGATGAATAGCACTATAGCAACAGCTATAGTGCTATTTGTTGTATAAAAATAAAGTGTTATTGAAATTGAAATTGTATTATAACCATGGCATTAATTTATCAAAAAATCTAATATATAATTTTGTATTCGGCAGCCGCTTGACACAAAACAGTCGCAGATTAATCGAGTTGACGACGACGTACCGTGCCAGTGTATGTCTTCGTCTGTGTTGGTCGAAGGCTATTTTTGACCGTAAATTTTATACATATTAGGTCCTTACATATGAAATTGGCGTATTTCGTACTGGCCACTTTAATCACGATGTTCTCCTCTTTGGTAAGGAATTCCAAATTCAAATTTGTACAGCTATTTCCTCATGTATTTGTACTTCGATGACCGTCATTTGTTTTTTTCTTCTGTTTTTTCTGATTGCGTCACTCATTTTACAAAATGGAAAACTTAAAGTATCGCATTAGTTACGAGTTCCGCCGTGGCACTAGTGCTGCGGAAACGACTCGAAGGGTGAATGATGTGTATGGCGGTCATGTTGCAAAAGAAAACACAGTTCGTTTTTGGTTCCAACGTTTTCGTTCTGGAAATTTCGACCTGCAGAACAAGCCCCGTGGACGGCCTGAGACCCAAGTTGATAATGAAGTATTGAAGGCTATTGTGTAAGCGGATCCATCGCAAACCACGTCCGAGTTAGCTGCAGGCTGTGGTGTTAGTGATAAAACTGTTTTAATTCACTTGAAGCAAATTGGGAACATTAAAAAGCTTGAAAGGTGGGTACCTCACGAATTGACTGTAGCAAACCGGCAAACGCGCGTCGACTGCTGCGTTACATTACTGAACCGGCACAATAATGAAGGTATTTTAAACCGAATCATTACCTGTGATGAAAAATGGATTCTTTACGATAATCGGAAGCGCTCAGCGCAATGGTTGGATCCTGGCCAGCCAGCCAAATCCTGCCTCAAGCGAAAATTAACCCCAAAAAGTTACGTATGGTGGACGTGTAAGCGTTTGGTGGACTAGTGCCGGTATTGTTCATTGCAGTTTTCTCAAATCTTGCCAGACTATTACGGCTGATGTCTATTGTCAGCAATTGCAAACCATTATGGAAAAGCTAGCGGCTAAACAACCTAGGCTGGTCAATCGCTCCAAGCCACTACTACTTTACGACAACGCTAGACCACACACTGCACAACAGACGGCTACCAAATTAGAAGAGCTTCAATTGGAATGTCGAAGACATCCTCCGTACTACCCGGACCTTGCTCCAGCAGATTACCATTTTTTTCGTAATTTGGACAACTTCTTGCAAGGGAAAAATATTTAACTCTGATGGGGCAGTCCAAATTGCCTTCACAGATTTTATTGATTCCCGTCTGACTGGTTTTTTTAGTAAAGGGATCACTACCTATGAGATGGCAAAAGTGCATAGAAAACAATGGTTCATACTTTGATTAATTAAATATATTATATTTAAAAATATTCGACTTTTTGTTCGTCCCATACAAAACGCCAATTTCATATGTAAGGACCTAATATATATAATAATCACGTAAAAACATTTTAGTTTGTTTACGTGCATGGTACGTCGTAGGGAATGGTGATACATCTTAACTAAAGAAGCATTTTGTTGGATTTTCGAAATTAGTTTGGTTTGAATTTTTAAAGCCAATACTTAACAGAAGAATTTTAGCGAATTAATAATCTGAAATGCTTTTTAAAATCTTGTCAAATACATATACTGGGTATGAAATATTTAAATTTCCAATACCTTCTTTAAAACCTCAGAAGCAATTGGCACCATTGAGTTGACAGGATTTGTGATGATAGCCAGCATGGCCTTAGGTGCCTTGGATGCAACACACTGAGCGAGGTCTCTAACAATGGAAGCATTGGTGTTAAAAAGGTCGTCCCGGGTCATGCCTGGTTTACGGGGAACTCCCGCCGGGATTACAACAACATCAGCATCTGAAACAAATTGTTATATTTTTATTATTTATTCAACTATTATCAAGTTTAAGATATATAGAGTATCATTTTTTATTCATCTTATACATAATATTTTTTTATTATCTTATAATAAATTCTTATCATATTGTAATTGAAAATATGTATAAAGTTTCAAGAAAACATAACACCTTAACCTCTAAGATGCAGAGGTAAATAATATAGTATATAAATATTAAAATCTAAGTTGACGATCATTTTTACCAAATCATAAGGATATGATTACTGCTACTAAGGATAGTATCACACAGATATACTAACTTCTAGCATAACTTAGGAATACTTTCAAATTAAGAATATATACAATTGATATATATATATGTCTTATTTCAGCTTAAGAGACCATTAACAAGTGTCAAGTTCACAAAATACAAATAGCTGACAATGACATAAATATAGGATGTTATGTAACTCCAACATAACCTAGAAAACAACTACTAACTACTCACTTTCAATGGCAGATGCCAATTCCTCAGGTCCCTTGTGACCTGTGACCTTGGCAGGAGTGTCCATGTGTGAAAGATCCGCCGCTACTCCAGGAGTCACGGGCGCGATATCGTAACATGCTAGACGAGAAACCAAGGGGTTCTGCTTTAACAACAATGCTAAAGGCTGGCCAATACCACCGGCTGCTCCAGCAACAACTACTTTGTAGTTATTCTGTAAAAGTTATAACGATTAATTGGGAATTATGAAGTCATGTGAACAGTATGACTATATCTAATGATTATGATTATGCTTGACAAATGAAGATAGTATGAGTTATTAATGTTCAGGGTTTTTCTGAAAAACCACTCATGATGAATTTTACCTGGCCTGAAGTAGAAAAGGTCTTGGCGCCATTCTGAACCGCCACAGAGGCAACAGGCTTCAAAACACGTGAGAACATCGTTACACTATAAGTATTAATGGAAATTGGAATTACTTAATATTTTTAGTTTTTTATTCGGCAAATCCACACGACCCAGCCGACCTTTAAAAGATAACTAGTGATGTAACTTTATTCTAAGGTTACGAACGTAAGTGTCACACGTCATCAAAGATAACAAACGCCTATAGAATATGTAACCGAAATAACCTTTTTTTATCGTACAGAACTGTCATATATTTATAATTATAGCATAGCAGATAGCTTTATAAGTTAAGAGTAGTGTATTTCGCGCTTATACATGATACGTATTTGCTGTACTGCGTTCTTGATCGATTTTGCAAATATTTTAAGCTATATCGCTATATACCACAGCCAGTTTTACATATTAAGGTAATACAAGATGTAGAAAATTGGTAAATTGTAATCTGTGGATGAAAACTGGTGAGACATAGTTACTATATAATATTAATATATACTTTACTTTTTGCGTGCTAATTATAATTATAATGTACTGCTTTATTATTTTTCAACAATTATTTTTTGTGCAATTAGTTATCTATACTTATCGATTATACTGTTATTGTTTGTAGACATCCCTATTCTAGGTTTAAAAAAAATATATTTTTGACATATTCAAAAACAATTGATTTGACATTTAGATATTCAATAATATACATTCACTCAATGTTTTGTTTGCAAAATAATTTAAATTTAATTTCTCCGAATCTAGTGTGTATCTAAACTGTATTGTAAAATTAAGAACTGAAACGAGTGGCCTAAACCTATAGATATTCAAAATGAATGTTATACAAGCCGTAAAGTTGTATATAACTAAAATGACAGAGGAGAGTGGTCCTGGAATGAAAGTTATTCTTATGGATAAAGAAACTGTAAGAATATGAAATCTCTTATTTCTTTTTTATCTTTGTTTCTGAGGACACAACATATTTAATTGATAATCGATCGGTATCTGATGTCTTTTGTTAAAATTGCTTACCAATCTATTATGAAACAATAATAACTGTATTCCTTGTCGTAGACTAGTATAGTAAGCATGGTCTTTAGCCAGTCTGAAATCCTTCAGAAGGAAGTGTATCTTTTTGAGAGGATAGACAGTGTGGCAAAGTGGGACAACTTGAAACACATGAAGTGTATAGTATTCCTTAGACCCACTTCTGAAAATCTTGCTCTATTGTGTAGAGAACTAAGGTGTCCTAAGTATGGGGTTTACTATGTTTGTAAGTATCTACTAATCATTCATATAATGAGATAAATTATGATGATATTGTATATTTTTTAATTAATTAGATGATTGTCACATAAGATGAAATATCGATTGCATTTTCTAATATCATTACAGTAGTTAGTCAAAACTAATATACACAAATCTGACTTATTTAAATTTCCTACAATTACTGATTTTACAATTTAAAATATTTTATGTAATTGATGAAATAATAAGTAACATACGTATGTGTGTTTATAGATTATTAAGAGGTATTTAATAACTTTTGTAGATTTTAGCAATGTAATATCTAAGTCTGATGTTAAGACTCTGGCAGAGTGTGATCAGCAAGAGTCAGTAAGGGAGGTGCAAGAGGTGTTTGCTGACTATTTAGCTGTTGATAGACACCTTTTCTCTTTCAACATTGTTGGATGCTTACATGGTACAATTGTTTACATTACTATTCCAATAAAATGCAATCCATTAATAGTTAAACAAATTGTAAGGTCAGAAAATAGCATTCACTAAAATGTCAATAAGAAATGTTTTAGGGTTTGGTTAACTCAATAATTTAATTAAACATTTTTTTTTAAGAAACTCTAATTATGTATATCTAAATCTGCTAGAGGTCTGTTTTTCTCTCTATATTTATAACATCTTATATGATATTTTTTAGGATAGATAGGCTTATCATATGTTACTACCACATCAGTTGGCTTTCACTTTCCAAGCCAATTATAAAAGGCCCTAAAGACTTAAATATTATAAAATTAAATAAATATAAATAAATGTGGTAATTAAAGACTCGATAAAAACTACTATTTTATTACCAATCATGCTTAATATTTCAGGTAAGTCATGGAATCAACAACATCTCCAGCGGTGTTCTCAAGGCCTGCTTGCTTTATTCTTGTCATTAAAAAAACGACCTGTTATCCGATATGCATCTGGTTCAACAGCCTGCTCTCGACTTGCGGAGAGAGTTAAGGAGTTAGTAAGAAGAGAGTCAGCTCTGATGGACAGTAATATACCATACAGTGACATAGCTCCACAATTGCTAATTTTGGACAGACGTGATGATCCAGTTACTCCTTTATTACATCAGGTAAGAAAGAATTATCAGGCATTGGGACATAAGTGTTTTTATACACATCTACTACAAACTATTATTATAAAAATTATTCTAGATAAAAAATTTAACACTGGTATATCCATAAAAATAAATAAGGGTAACAAATGTTGTGTATTTTTTGAGGGTGCTTTTTCATTTGTATATATAAGCATGATTGATTGATGACCTTTAACCATGATTACTTTCAGTGGACGTACCAAGCAATGGTCCACGAATTGTTGACTATTAACAATAATCGTGTGAGCCTAGCACATGTTCCTGATGTTCACAAGGACTTGAAAGAGGTAGTGCTAGCTGCAGAACAAGATGAGTTTTATGCTAAGGTAGTTTAACCTGAAGACCATTTATATCTATATATAACTTATCATTTGTAGTTCTACACTGTCTACTACTACTAGAGTAGATTTTTTACAATTTTTTTTTTATCAAAGACTAAAATATGTTCATAGTTAACCATTTAGAATTAAGTGTTATTTTTGCAGAATCTGTATTCGAATTTTGGTGAGATTGGACAAACAATCAAATCTCTTATGGAGGAGTTCCAGAGGAAAGCAAAAAGCCATCAAAAGGTTGAAAGTATAGCAGATATGAAGAACTTTGTTGAGACTTACCCGCTTTTTAAGGTAATGTTTACATTAAGTCATATGAGATAGTCCTTGTATTTAAGTTAGTGATAGGTGATTGTTTTTCTTGTAACATTAAAAGCTTCTGGCAATGTGAGTGTCCACAACATCACTTAACATCAGGTGAGCCTACTGCCCGTTTGTCTCCTATTACATAAAAAAAGCTGTACTTGGTTCCCAAATGAAAAACAATTTATGTTTGAAAAAAATAATGAACTTATTACAGTCAAAAACTTTAATAGTTTCACTGATAAATATTTTTCCTATCTCAAAGAAGTTTAAGGGACCTCGCTATATACTCCATACTTCTATGTCAAATGTAGAAGGAAGAATATTGTATATGTTGAGTTAGCATTTGGTTTGGTTACAAACTTCAAGCAAACAATCCGACTGTCTTGATCACAGTCACAGTACAAGTACAGACATAACTTTTATAAAATAATCTTAAGACTTTAATGATATTTACAGAAAATGTCAGGGACGGTGTCGAAACATGTGACTGTTGTTGGAGAGCTGTCAAGTACAGTGGGGCGACATGAGTTGCTGCAAGTCTCCGAACTGGAGCAGGAGCTTGCCTGTCAGACTGACCATGCAAAGCATTTACAGGTACAAATATGACGTTAACATACAAAAATTAAATAAAATATTCAAACGCGTATAAGTTAAGCCATGTGCATAAATTCTACATACACTTTTAGGTCATTTGTATTTTTGAAGCTTCTGCATCCAATTTTTTTAAAGTTTTAAACCTAATATATTTCATGTATACCAGTGAGGTGAACATTTTAATGTATAATCAATTGTTCTTATCTAAATATCAAAAAATTACCTAACTACTAATTAATTTAAGTATTTTCAGCTGAACCCTGAGGTACCCCATGTAATAATATAGAAAATTTGGTATGTTTGTAAATTGACTCAACAACTACTGGACTGATTTCAGAATTTTATTTCACCACTCCTACATTGTTATTACTTACGCTATATTTATTTTTGAAATATAAAAAAAAAGTTTAGCCGTAAAACCGGGACACGTCGTTCCTTAATCCGAATTACGTGGAGGGCTATATTGTTATTTTTTTTAATATTATTTAAATTCCAGCGTTTAAAAGGCCTCTTCAACAACGAAAAAGTCCGAACAGAGGACCTCGTTAAACTGGTAGCACTATACGCCCTCCGATACGAGAAACATGCGAGTAACGCGCTCTCGTCCCTGGTGGATTCGTTGAAATCTCGCGGGGATGAAGTTGCGCGTGCCCCGGTCCTTGTATTGGAGTATGGCGGGGCTCATTCAAGGCAAAGTGATTTATTTGGATTGCAAGATGCAGCTAAGATTACAAAGAGATTGTTCAAGGTGAGAATTATCTTTTTAGAAATTTATATTCTCTTTTTTAATAAATTAAAGTTACTTTTTGTTTGGTTTGTAATGCGATATGTGAGTATTTCTGTGTCAGTTTCATTGATCATTTTTAAAACCTTCTGTGCCTAAATATTGCATCTTTTGGCGGAAATCAAACTGAGAAATGTGTTGTGTCATTTCCTAAACCACTTAGACACGAAGATTAAATCATTTAGTGTTAACCTTTTAAAATTGTAGGGCCTCAGTGGCGTAGAAAACATATACACCCAACACAGTCCCCTACTAAAAGACACATTGGAAGATCTTCTCAAGGGAAAACTTCGCGAAAATCTTTACCCGTCAGTAGGTGGAGAGGATATTACCAGAAGACCCCAAGAAATAATAGTTTTCATTGTGGGAGGAGTAACATATGAAGAGGCATTTTGCGTGCATCAGTTAAATCAAACGAACCCAGGCGTAAGGATTATACTTGGCGGAACAACAATACATAATTCCACCTCGTTTTTGGAGGAAATAAAATATGCAATGCAAGGTGTACAGAGGATGCACACGCGGCATATAAGGAATGTTTAATCTGTTGTCGATGGATTTAAATTAATATTTAAAAATCGTCATTATTATCATAGTATGTAAAAGTCCATTCAGCCATCAACACCAATTGTAACCCTGAAACTATATTATCTATTGTTACTCATTTGTCGATGTACAATTGAGTTTCACGAATGATCTCTATTTGCGTACAGAAAAACAAATTTGAAAAAATGTTTCTAGTTTATAAGTGTATAATAATAAGTTGACTGTTAAGTTTTTATTGTTGAAGTTTAGGATGATAGAGAAAATCTTGTAAAGGATGGGGAACATTCGGAATTTTACTAAGCAAACTCCTTTCAAACATGTATTATTCTTGTATGTAATGACAAAAAACTAACGCTAAGGACTCACGAAGCGGTTTGCACCCGCGACGCCGTGGTTGCGGTGAAGTGGGACTATAATATTATTGTCATCTATATAGATAAGCATATTTTTTATCTTTGTATATAATTTAGTTTATGTGATAAATTTACACTATGGTAGTGTTACATATTAAGTTAATTACCTAAAAAAAACCAAAAGATGTATTCAATTATTTATTAAACCTATTCAATATTCATTAGCTGTTTTTTTTCCTTATGAAATCTCTTACGGCCAAAACCAATATGCAATCTCAATCCAATTTTAGCTGTCATAGACTGACAATTCAATCCATTTCTAAAGAAAAGCATGCCAATATTAAGTCCATGGACTGAGATACCAATCTAATTATTCAACCAATCGTTCAGAGGGCGGATAAGAGATTGAAGATTGCCCTCTGTATGAAAATGAATGTTTACTCATGCCAACAACCTATCTGTCCATTTTGACAGTTGCTTCGATTGGCCAAATCAATCTCGGATTGCTATCGGTGAAACTCGTATGATTTGGGTTTGGGATTGCGACCTAACTTAATATTCATTGGGAAAATTTATTCATCTTCGTCATCTTCCAGTTCTAGTGATAGTGATTTGGAAGTTTAAATGCAATTATCCGATTGGGATAGTAATTCTGAAGCTGGAAGAAGACAACGTACTTCTGTGCGAAGACATAAGAAGACAAGAATTAATGATGATGAACCAGCTAATGATATTGATCAAAGCGCAATTGACAACGTGGGAAATGCAAGTGTGCGAAGTAATCTTATAAGTGATTATTTTGCTTTATTACTATAATATTTTATAAATTACAACATTTTTGAGATAAATTAAATAAAAATTCAATGCTTTTATTCAAATAAAAATACAAATTTTTAATACAATACATCCTTGCTCCAGGCACAAAATCTATTATTTTTCTAATTTATTTAACAATATATTTTTTTCTATGGCCCATAATTCTCTTTTATGCTCTCTTGCTTCCTCTTCAAATGCCCATTGCTTTCTCTTATTTAGAAGCTCTTCCTTTCAATTGACTTTCAATTCCTTCGACAGACAACAATATCATGTCTTTGACTTTTTCCTCGATAGGGGTAAGAGGAGAAGCAGCACTAGGGCCACCTCCTGTACGATATGTTTCAGCATGTATCAAGGCAGACTTTTTTCTTGTAGCCCTCTTTAAGCTTTAGCACTGCGAAAGTTTACCCCACTTGTGCTATTAAACAGCGCCTCCAGCGTCTTCCAGCACTGCTCTTTCTCCTGCCAGGTGACTGAGTCAGTCTTTTTATTTTCTAATATATTTTTATGGTCAGCAACAAGCGAAGTTAGAAGGTCAACTTCTTCCCGGCTGAAATTGACGCTTCTTTCCACGTTTTTGCGTAGACATTTTTTTAAGTTAAAGAACCAACCTCGAATCACAAAAACAACATACAAGTCGTCGGAAATATCTGCGAACCTGGCTTAATGACGTCATACAAACTGGAGAGATAGCAAAAAAATTGAAGATGTAAAAATAAAAAATATTTTATTTGTGTACTTATTTTTATTGATACTCGTACCTACCCATCTTACATACAGCACTAAATAGGTAGTTTATGTAATATTTCACCAAACAGAGAAACAATAAACACTAAAATGCGATTACGAAAGCAAGAATAATACACGTGCGGCGTCGGCGATTGCGTTGGCAACGGTACTGGATAGGCGAAAACGGGGCGGGGTGCGGGGGCGCCAGGGGAAGCGCATTCCAGCGAGGTTCGCAGATATTTCCGACGGCTTGTACACAAACTACTCAGAGAAAATTTATATTTGAAAGGTCAAGCCGAAGGCGCCGAACTAAAAATTAAAATATATACTAAAATACTCAATAACCTAACAAACAAAAATACCATATGAAAATGCCAGCCCGTTTCGTTACAAGTAATATTAAATGACCAACAAAAAGGTTAAGGTTCTATGTTTTTCTATAGAATTTTGTAACTTTATTTGTTCGTAACAAAAAAACAAACAAAAACGTTGCATAGCTATTTGCTACTTTATCCATACATTGTGAAACAGACCCTAAGTCTTACTTATTTTATTTCGTTCCAAAAACAGCAATTTTTTGGTATGCTTGAACACAATATATTGCATTGAACGAAACGCGGTCGAGAGGGAAGGATCACGCAAATGATTGCTGTCAATCTTTTGTCAAATAAACAATCGGATAGCAGAAATGTTTATTGGCATGCAGATTGGAGATCGGTCTTTAGATATGAATCAGTCCAAGATTGGTTATAATCATAGATTGAGGATACATTATTAATTTTGGCCGTTAGAAACATCCCTATGACAGAATGAGATTAGCTTATTTAAAATTTGACTTCAAATATGAAATTGGAACTCAAATATATAACGGATAAACATAGATGTCAATTGTGCCTACTACACTATAAAAGGAAATACATTTAAACACTTATCTCTTTGATTATTATTGTTGAAATTCTTTTTTTACAAGGAAAGGTGAATTACGTGGTAAATAAATAAAAACACATAATTGTTGTGTTCAAAACACATTTTTTATAACTTTTTTTATTGAAAAATACCTGACGCTGATGTAGGCGTCGTCCAACAATACAAAGCTACTTGGCCGCGGTTACAAAACAAGCACAACTTAAGCCAAGCCACCTTAGGTTACATTTGTAACATTATCAATGCTTTTACATACTTTAGGCTCCGAAAATTGCTTATAAAACCTTACACACCCGACATTCAGTCTTTGATATACCTCGCAACCTCTCCGTCAGATCTCGTTTGAGCTAGACACACGTAAGTCGATGAACTTTAGTGACGGACTCTACCAAGCCAGACGATTTCTGGACAAAGTATTGACACTTGCTGTAATAGTAGTAGTATAGTATAAATTTGGCAGAATCCGTTCTTATGCGTTGTTAAGAAAAGGTTTCGAGGTTTGGACAGTTGGTGGTACAGCCCCTCTGGGCATTAAGGCATTACACTAGTGTCAATCTGTCACGCGTTTTCATCAACTGATCGAAATCGCATGTAACGACACTCAAACAACGTATCTGTAAGTTTGAAGTTTCCTCCATAAATATTGTTCTAACTTACAGGTACGTAAGTACACACAGCTTTTACACATGTACACATTCGTACATTCGCAAATAAAGTGCCACATCAGGTACAAAAATAAAAAAGCTGTTAATGTTGTCTCGCTCTTTTACGCATGTGCAGCGACGGGTAGTTAAATTTAAGTTTTTTCTGCAGGAATAATGCAATTTGGCACCAGATTTGTTGTCATATTAATTTTGTTGTATAAAATCAGAACAATGGTTACAAAATATCAGGTCGTTGGTGGTAGAACAAGCATCATCAAGGATTATTTACTATTATTTTGGAACCAATTATTCCAATTATTAAATTTTTAACTGGAATTCATTAAATGTAACATAGTTTTCTGCAGCTTTAACATATAACTTGATATAAAAGAGATTGCTTTGTCGTTTCCATTAATAATAAACAAGTAATTATTTAGTAGCATTTTTGAGTTTTAAAAATATTACAAAATTGCTTCTTAACTTTTACTAGCTTAAAGATGTTTTAAATTGTTAATATATTTTTTAACATTTTTCTGCACATACATATTTCTATTTTTTATGATTATTCGATAAGGGAGATATCGTAGGTCAACTTTACTGGACCATTTATTATTCTTATTTTAACTCCACCTGCATTTTAGAAGATTTTAAATTAATTTTTATTTCCTTTAATCTTGAAAATTTAAGTCAAACCAAAGCATATCTTAAACCGTACTTTCAAACTAAACTGCCTTTATGAACACAATTTTTCAATTTGATTTAAAATTACAAATTGTTTTGAAGATATTTTCTCTAAGAGATTCTATCAAATACTTAAAATTGTTCCTCTGACAAAATATTTTGACTCATTTGGAGCGTAGATTAGCGATTAAAAAGGGCAGGTGAAGATTGTGGAAGCAAAAACAAAAACTAGAAGGCACACATTCGTTGCCAGAAATTAAACATATACTAAAACCAACTCTCTCTTTCGACAGTCTGTCATGAGTATATCCCAAATCAATAGAGGCTTTACACAACCGCATGCGTCAAACATTGGCTTGACGTAACAGAAACAATCCTTAACGGATATTCATAAAATATAACCCATTCAACCGACAACAAACAACACTTTAGAATATCTCACGCACAACACACGCGGTGGTCGCACACACGCTTCAATAAAATTCAAAAAAGAAAAACGAAAAGATGAAAAATAAAAAACAACGCCGGCCGCAGCGCGTTGCCAAAACGTCGGCAATGTGCTATCGGCCCTCTAGGCCGTTCCCGATAATATTTTTTTTTGGGATTTTTTGAATGTTCATTTTTATACATCACAAATCATACACGAATAAGCCGTCGAGGAAAGGACTTCTAAACCTATATACATATTTACACCTAACTTCAAGGACTTAGGAATTCTTATACACGCGCATATATTAAGGAATGAATCGCATATTGTATATCATAAATCCGCTAAAATCGTTAAAAGGAAACTATATTGAAAATATTTATATGGACTGTTCAATTCCAAAACCTATCTACTTGTAAATTTATAAACACCAGTTCACTGGCAACTGTTTTTATATTGCTTAGGATTTTGCCTGATCGCCCGTCGGACGCGTGTCTCGATACAGGTTGACGTAGCACCGTTAGACAGGTCGATTTCTATTATATTTTTCACAGGGAAGCAGAGCGTTTTCTCTAATATTAGTGGCAACAATTACATTAAATTCCCGAATTAAAATAGCGCGCTGGGATGTGAATAAGAGTCCACATTTGGCGCTACCCAGGGAGCACCGCGCGGAGGTCATGGACTATGCCCCCCTTCTTACAACAAACAAACACACAACATTCACCCTCGTTAATAAACCGGTTTATGATAATTCGTAACCGAAATTATAAACTTTGAACTGGAACAAAATTATAAAAATCCTTAATATAAGTAACAAATAAAATTTTAATAGCAGTGTTTGTGTTCAGAGTCGGTAGAGTTTTAACATCCTTAGGATTTTTTAAAAGTTTATTTGATAGTTACACTTTTATTTCTTTTTGCACTTAATGAAGAAAAATGAGCCGACTGTTTCAGCACAGGTTGCCTGGAAGAGATCGTTTATAAGTGATTTGTAGTCAACCTTAAGATTTATTATGTATTTTGTTTTCTTGAATGCAACGTATTGTAAATAAATAATGGATTAAAAAAGTGCAGGATTATTTACTAGAACAAATATGACGATTCAGCTCTCTTTAAAGTCCGTCGTAGGTTCTACATAGTAATAATCCTACCAAGTAAGTTCAAATATTTCTTATAAACCAGTTTACTAAAGTGGGTACACAGGCACACAAGTCCACATCGGCCGCATGACTCACCAAGCGGCGGTCTAACCTAATTTCTCCAATTGATCTTTTACGAACACTTCTATGTCCAAATACACAAACGTCAATCAAAATGCTTTGTTTTTCCATATACCTATTCTACAATAAGATAACTATATTAGCTCACGGTTATATTTGAGTGGCCTTTGAGTATTCAGGCAATAGAATGTAAAGACTCTTAAAATCTCAGAAAACTTGAGCCAAAAAACCTATAATAAATACAATAGGTAAATAAATGAAGACACCAGACTAGTCTAACACTAATATGTCCGCCGGGGACGAAAATTAATTTCTGATCGAAAAGTGCAAGGAATAGGATTGGTAATCAATCCGAAAGTTCACACTCAATATTTTGTGGGAATTCTGACTTGCAAACTTGAGTTGCCACAAACCTTCCCAAGTGTGTCTTGTCAGTACAATACATGTTACTGTATATAAGTAAAATATACTTTGCAAGGAAATATTTGTTTCAAGGTCTTCGATAATCCTACTAGTGACAATCGAAATGCCTTTTTAAGAACGTAAACGAAGCTTATATTTTTTTTACAAGATTTTGGCCTACTCAGCATGTTTAAATTATATTCAAGCTAAATGAAATCATTGGGCATAATTACCAGATTACAAAACTAGTTTCAACCCATTTTCGTACCTTATGATTAAGCAAACTACAATGTGCCTGTAAAATATCGTCTTTAGAGACACATTAAAGATTGGGTTGCAGCTGACCTTGGACGAGTTTATCCAATGACCGAAATTGGCCAAAATATATTCAAGGGTCCCAAAAATTTCTACATGAGCCCTACTAGTCCATAAAAAATCCGAAACATTTGAAACTTCGAATTCAGATTTAGAATTTACATCGTACTTCGTTTAGATTTTACACATTTATTTGGAATATGTCGGCGATTTCTATTCTTTAGCCGATTTTAAAGTCTCGTTTTGTAATAAGTATATACCGTTTTTAAACAAGCAAAAGCAATTTGATAATATTTGCTTCTGAATTCAACAGCTTCCGGTTGCCATATTTAACTTAGCGGGTGAATAAAGATCCATTATCGTATTATAGTAGGTTTTGTGAGACTTTGTGGGATACGGTAGTTATACTAACAGTCAACTATAAGTTAAATATAGCACTCGTCCTAGGCCGTCTACAATGTTACCTCTACATCTTATCAGTGACATAATTATAAGATACAACGCTGACAAGAGACGTAACCAAAAATATACGTTCGTGTCGACATTGTATTATCTACCTACTAATTTCGTTTTATTGTCACATCATTCCTTCAAGAAAAATATACGCACTTTTCACCAATTCGAGTAATTTTTTGGTAAAAATTCATATATCCCTCGCCTAACATTCGTTCATACACAACTCAATAAGGCAGTCACCGTAAATATATTTATATATTATACATTTATATCATATAGGCTTACATTACACATCTGATAACCATCCGATGTAGATAGCGTATACGGCCAGATAAAAAAAACATCTAACTAAACAAAAATGGAATTTTAAAAGGTTTTTTAAATACATATATATGTTATAATATAAGCTAAATAGCACCAAGTTGCTATATTTACTTACAAGTTGTAGAAGACAGATAGCCAGCGTTATCCGTCAAAAAGGTACATATTTTTTGAAAAATAGCCTTGCTATGCGTATTTGTCACTTGTCTGTTCGTGGAATGTAGCAACCGGGCGTAAGAGTTGAATCCTTGCCATAGAATTATATTCAGTTGATGTTTCTTTGTCTGTTCGCACATTGAAGCAAACATTCCTCAAAGCGAAATGGAATTCCGATCCGAAGATTACAATTGACTCGTGATGGAAATAGGGTTTAACACTAAATAATAAATAGAAAGGTGTGGTAGAAATTAACAGTTAATAACAAAATATAAAGATCTTAAAAATGCAACGAAGAATGTCAGCTGCCAAGATAACAACAAAAAAAACAAAAGTTAAAACGACCGGCTGTCTCGTGTTTATTTCATATTTTCTTATATAGCTTGCTGTGGATATATTGAGAATCTATTAATTTCTACCCACCCAGTCCGAAAGTAATTTATCTACCTATAATACAATCCGACTTATCGACACTGTCTATTTAGACAATGCTTTCGGATATACATATAGAAATGTTTCCCTTATTCCCGCCGTGCTAAGCTTACACTATCCTATACAAATATATATTGGTAGGTTCATAGCTTTTATATGGATTTAAAAGCAGGGCTTAACCATTGATTGAGAATTTCAACTGCAATTTTTACATATACTAACGCACTTTTGACCATTTTTTATATTAGATATGAAATTTAAAATGCCAAATAAATAATAGTGCTGTTTTGCCATCTGTTGTTTAAGGAAGATTGCAATTACGAAATTATTGTGTTTTGATAAATAAATATATATAATTTAAATTAATACATTTTAATAGACTTTTTTCTCTTTGCATATAAATATATTCGTTTTATAAATCGTAATATAAAGACATGATTCTTCAATATGGAATATTATATCAAGAGCCAAAAAAGAATTAAATTTATAATTGAACACGAATTTAAATTTAAACAACATGATCTTAGAAAATGTATGTAAATATATATATGATAAACTGTTAGTAACTATGTACGTAATTTCGACGTTCGGCTTAGCCGTATATATTTTAAATTAAAGTTAAAACGCACCAAACAGGTGTTATAGGGCGGGCGGGCTTAGCACGGCGAGTGGGTGGTAGGGCGGTGCGAGTGGGTCAATAGGCGGGCGGATGCGCTCTACGGGTGAGAGGAATGTATTCCGGGCGTGCTTGATCCTCCTGAGGGCTGCTGTGGTGGTAGTAGTACTTGCTGGAATAAAATATTTTTAAATTAAATTACAAGTAATTAACATAGAAAGTAGATACACCCATTATATTTAAATCGACTTAAAAAAAGGAGTGTATCAGTTTGTGTTATTGTTTAAATGGATAAATTTTTTAAGCATATTTTGTATATAAACGTCTATCCCGTTTTTTATATTTTAACTTTGGGAACTGTCCAAAATTCATCAAAATTAGGTCAGTAGTTATTCTAGTATGTGTTTTTATATATATAATGTTGACAGGTATTTAAAGTTAATCTATTTTATTTAAATTAATAATTAATATCAATATCATTACTGTTAAATTTCTATTTCAGTGCCACAGTTTAATTCGTCATATTTTACGCCTATTTCCACTGTACCACAAATAATTGGGTTATTCTATATACTCCTATCATTGACGTAACAACGTCTTATAATTCGATGGAGCCGGTTGCACGCACGAAAAAACATGACGCATGTGGCGTTACCTCGCTCTGAGGAGTTCCATTTAAGACTTGAAATGCAAGTGAGAGCGCGGAACGAGCGACAAAGAGGCACAATCGGATTCCGCGTTCGGCAGCGTTCGTTTTTTTTCTTTTGAAATAAGCAACCATTCCGTCAGTATTTTCTTATGACGTTCAACTATCGTCAGTAAACCGACTTTACAGACAACCGATTATTTATTACAATAGTATGTAGTTTCGCCTTTATTTATTCCACTATACAGGTAGAAATCTCTTATTAGTCCCAAAAGATCATTCCTTTAATTTTCTTTAATGTAGCAACAATACATTTTTGTGTTGTAGAAGGATGGTGAACAGTTCCATCAACCTAAAGGGAGGATCTTCGACTAACCACAGACTGGCCGGCCTGAAGGCTACAGTAGCTAAGATCAAGACGTTGTATATATCTTTAGCGCTCGGAATTACTTCGTTAGTGCGTTTCAGGGTATGACATCATCGCTGCAGAATGTAGTTGTCGCTACAGTATTAAAAAATGAGACTTCATCTTCATCTACATTAATTACCTTGTTATTATCAAGTTTTCGTTTCTCTACACAAACTGATAATCCGCTTTCAAAGAATCCCCTTCAGTTTGCTATTTCTAAGATCACAAAACAGCAATATATATTTAATGGAGCTCAATATACCTGCACGGGATGATGGTGTGGATGGTGAGGGTGGTGGGGCGGCGAGGCGGTGGGTGGCGCGTGGTTGAGGTAAGCCACGTGGTGGTGGTGATGGTGATGGGCACCAGCTCCACCGCCCATCAGCGGACACAGCACTTGCGGCATGTACTGGAAATAAAATCATATATTTATTTACACTTCTTTGCACACACAAATGCAACGGGCAACCTAATAGCTGATCAACGATCTCCTCCGGGAGACCCATGCTATCGATCTAAGAGTAAAAAAGAGAAGTGCCAATATATAAAACGCCATAATGTTAGTCGTAAAAATATTATAATAATTTATAATGATGAAATTATATAAATTTGTGCACTTAGAATTCTGATAGAAAGCGAAAAATGTATCTCAAGCCAAATGTTTTATATGCTTATACAATTTTTTTTAATTATTTGTTGTAGAAAGTCCAACTTTAATTAAAATACATATTTGCAACAGCAACTTTTTGTACGTATTGTCATAATGTATTGTAAATAATCGTAACATCCCACACAATGTCTACATAGAAATATTAATTGATGAAATATCTTAAATATCTAAATAGACCCAACTTATGATTTATATTTGATAATTATTCACAACATCTTCATATTATTACTGGTATCCCTGCAATGAAGGAAAAATAACTATATTTAACCACCTAGTAAATTTCAGATGTTAAGTGAAGAAAGTCATAGTTTATATATATATACGATGTATAGTCTGTCTCTATTGAACAGTAATTTGTTCAATGTCTTCAGACGAAAAATGTTTTCCGCCGCTGCCATTATTCCAACACAAATACTTATCAAAACAAACAAAAATTGAATTGCTTTTTTGTTCGAGTAATATTTTGGATACTTACGATTAATATTTTGTTTGAACATGTCTGTGTCTGTGAGTGTAATGTTAGAGTCTAAAAAATTCTTATACCTTTTCAATGTCAATAGCCTTAACCTTAACCTTGCGCAACCTACCTGGAAGGGCTGCTGCTGGTAATGGTGATGCGGTTGGTGCGGGTGTTGATGCTGATGCGGGTGCGGCGTGTGCGCGGGCGATGGCGGTGGATAGAGGGCGGGAGAGGCCGCGGCGGGTGAAGCGGAGGGGGGGCGCGTATTCCGCTACACCACCCCCCACTCCCACCGCTCCTCCCCCCACACCCACGGCTCCCCCCCATACCCACTGCCCCACCTGGGTGGTACATGCGCACCTGCAAGTCATACGGGTAAGCTAAGCTTCGTTTGATGTATGTATTGCGAGACATTTATGGCGTGTCACAATGACTATGTTAGACATACAAAGTAGGTATTTTTTTTTAGAAGTCCTACCAAAACCCCAAAAAAATATCTAAAATAGTTTCATACTGATATTCAAGAAGTTAGTTTAAATTAATGAAAGATTGCGGACGTGCCCGGGTTACGATTTTATCTCGATATTAAAATAATTATGTATTTAATAGAAATGTCATTACTGATAATTAATGTTTGAACATTTGTGTTTGTTTTATGTACCTATATAAATGTATCACCGCACATTTAGCAGCTAGGCAAAGCGAAAGTCAGGATATCATTAAAAAGCCCACTATTATTTGTGTTTGAGCATACACAAATTAAGTGATGTGAATAAAAGCGTAAGCTTTTGCATAAGCTCATCCTTAGCAGTAAATTCTTCATCCAAAACGGCTATAGGTTAGAATAATAAGATTGTACTAAGTAAGAACTAATGTTTGCATAAGCAGTAAAAGTCTAAATACTTAATAGTCGGAATGATAGGATTTAGTACAGGGAATTTGTAAGGTAAAACGATATTTTTACCTTACAATTCTCTGTACTAAATCTTATATATAAAAAGGTAGCGAGTTCAATGTGAACTCGGGCCGCTAAAGAGCGCCAAGATTGGAAAATTTTAAGGAAAAATAGGGGCCATAGAGACTAAATATTATATTACTTTAGGCATATTTACTTTATAAAATTGAAAGTAAACAGCATTAACGACCTTTTTTATTTATTTATTATAATTATAATATTTGTAGGTACATATATATTTAATAGATTATGGAATTATTAATATATCATTAAGAACTCGCGTTTCTTTATACCTAGGGGATATGTGCGACGGCGAAGGGCAAGGTTTGTGATAACAAGGTATAGAACTAGTCTGTTGCCCAGATCACCATTAACAAAAACATTGCGCTTAATGTATGCTGTCTCTGACACTATCGACATCTTTATATGTTCGCAGAGTGAGTTCACAATAGCGATATTGAGTATCTTATGTGTATAATATTAATTTTTTTTTAGACATTATGTGAATAAATAAATAATTTGGTCATCTTTAATTTATAGTGAACAAAACCTATTTTTGATAACAACACAACAATTTCGTGTACAAATATTTAATGTAGATTGAGCTCTAGGAACAACATAATAATAGGCAAAGCGAACAAATGTTTATACTTGTTTATGTGTATACGTACCATATGAGGGTACTGTAGAGTGGGCTGCGGCGGCGCAGGGTGTGGATGTGGGTGCGGGTAGGACACGAAGGGCTGCATGGGCGCACCAGTCAGTAAGGGCTGGCCGGTCGCTGTGGCTACCGGCATACCTAGTAACAATCATATGCATATAAAAATAAATACAGTCTCGTGGGTTTAATACCTTATGTAACTATTATTTTATTAGTTGAAAAACCAGTGATTTTATTTCATTGTAATATGTAATGAGATATTATTATTAATTTAAATCTCACTCAATTATTTTTTTGTTTTACGAGATTATAATTGAAATAATATTTTTTAGATAAGACAATTTCACTTTAGCTATAAAATTCGTTAAGTCAAAAATATATATCCACACTTAGTATTGATAAATTAAACATGTTTATTATAATATGAACAAACCAAACCTTTTCTGAAGTTCCCCCGTGGTTGTGTTTGCAAAGGCGCATGCTGACCCGCACCGCCACCACCGGGCATTGGGCCATATATCTGAAGGATCATTAATATCATAAAAATTACTCTACTAGTTCTCGTGTGTGTGAACTTTAGTCACCTGAAAAAGGGTCAAGGGGCAGACAATTGACATTTATATACATTAAAAGGGACAACTGACCCTTTTAATGTATATAAAATGAGTGGTTAGTAATATTTTCCTTCCAATAAATAAACAGATCGCCTACCGACGGCGTTCAGAATGATGAAATTATGATAAAACAATCGAGGGGTTTTAAAGAATTATTATTTCACAGCGTTACACACCAAAACAAAAACTAGTTAAATGTCGTTATGTTTAAAAATACTTTCAAAATAATCTAATACAGAGTAAATGAGTCCGTCAGTAGGAACTCGAAGAGTCGCAGCACTGATCGAACTATAAGAATATAAATCTATCTACTATCTGATTGTTTTCTTCTAGTTTACAGTCGGTACATCTCTATACAAATTACTTAGATCACAACTAAACAAATTTTTTAGGTTATTATATTTCATCGTTGAAATATATTTTAAGTTATGTCCGACGATGAATATTGTCAAAGCTACTGATTTAACTTAGTAAATTCAGAAATAAATTTTATATCAGACACAATGTCAAGCGCCGTTGTGCAAGTGATATACATAGACATAATATCTGAACGTGACCTCATTGACAAGTAGAGGTGATCTACTCTATGATTTATTATCGTTGCAACACACACGCTATTAATTCACAATTAAAATAATATTAAAATTAAAAACTCTGATTAACCATTATCTAGAGATAAGACAATCAAAGTTCAACTGTAATGAAATGTGGCTATTCTGGTTATTGGTCGTAGTTATTACAATCAAATTATTTAATAAATTAACATCGGGAAAATGTTACGCAGATACAGTAATGAGTGGCAAAGTTGTTGTGGTAACTGGCGCGAGTGGAGGTATCGGCTTCGAAACCGCATTGGAGTTAGCAAGACGAGGTGCTAAAGTGATAATCGCATGCAGGAGCCACCAGAATGGTGAAAGAGCGGTCCGAATCATTAGCAAGGTAGCCAAAAACAAACGGGTACGCTACATACATTTGGACCTCACATCATTAGCGTCCATACGAAAGTTTTGTGATGAATTAAAGGCGTCTGAAGCAAAATTGGACGTGTTGATAAACAACGCCGGAGCGATTTGCACGAAACGACAGAGGACTACTGATGGTTTGTTAAAAGATGAACAAATCAACTATTTTGGACCGTTTCTATTAACAATTCTTCTAGTTCCCATGTTGAAGCGGGTCGCATCCAGTCGTGTTGTGCTAGTTTCTTCAGCATGGCACAAATTAGGAAGGATTGAGAGAGTCAATGACGAAAATGTAGGTTATATACAAGCATATGCAACTAGTAAACTATGTAATATATTGTTCTGTAAGGAGCTGGCTAGACGCTTAAAAGGTACCGGGGTTGTTGTGAATAGCTTAAATCCGGGACAAGTGAATACGTCATTATATAGAAGTTCAACCGTTTTGGAAAAACTGAGAAGTCTAGTGCTATATTTCTTTTTTAAAACACCGTCAGAAGGTGCACAGACCTCAGTGTATTTGGCAGTATCAGATGAGTGTGATACGGCAAGTGGAAGATATTTCGAAGACTGTAAAGAGGTGATGCCTAGCTCCAAAACGGATGACGATGATACGGCAAGTCACCTATGGGTGATGAGCGAGGAACTTGTGGGTTTAAAGCCAGATGAGTTAGCTGATGTGACCATTTCCAAAGGATAATGTGGAGTGAAATTAAGGAAAACTATAGTAACAACAAAGATAAGGCTACTTTAATTTTTTTTATAGAATTTTAAGATTTTGAATAGTAAAAAGGTATTAGTAAAAAACCACTGCAACACCACACATTATTTAAAAATTTGGTTATTTTTTAAAACCTTTGTAAAACGGGACCTAAAAGAGTGACCAGTACCATAAATTAAAATAATTATAAACTGATTACGGGTTTTATTCGGAAATATCATCAAATGATTAATATATTAATAGATTATATTAAGCACTAATCACTCCATTCCATTTATCCACACTCCCTCACCGAGTCATGCCTATCCCTCTTTTCAGCGAGCACCAGTATGGGAGGCCCGTACTGGCGGCACTCACAACTCATCTCCATTGGGCCATTTGAATGCTATATGTAAAGTCTAATATAATTCTCTTGCTAGAGAAACTTATATAAAACAGACTTATTTTGCCAAAATAAAAAAAGGAAGATCTAAATCATTTAGTATTATAGTCCCTAGTGTCTTCTTTGCCTTTAGGCACTGAATTTCAAGCACAAATTAACTGTATTGATGAATTAAAAGCTTCATAACGTTGCGTTCTAAAATGCTAGAAAGCTATTGCAATAAGAGAAATAATTTGCAGTTAATCTATAAAATCATGATAAATATTTGTAGAAGAATTATTTATAGGTTTCTTAAAAATATAAATAAAATAACGCCTATTCTTGAGAACTATCATAAACATCGAATTGTGTCTTAATTTTCTTAGCAGAAATATTCTCAAAGGTTGTGCCTTCCTAAATATAATATTTTGGTTTCTTTGAAATCCGCAATGGTACTCTAATATCACAGCGATTGCAATCAATTTCAGAACCCGACTTCGATAAATTTCGATACAAAGGATGCGAAATTTGTACAGCGAATATTGATTGAAGATGTACTTTAAATTAATAATAAAAATTTCACTAACGGGATGTGGATGCTGTAGATAAGCAGGCGGCTGTTGTGAGGCTGCCGCCGCCGCCGCCATTACTGCAGCATATGCCGGAATCTGCAACACAATATTATATTAAAAAAATAAATATATTATAATAATATTGTATTTGCGATAAGATTCAAAAGTTTAAATTGAGAACAAAAACCTGAACCTTTTATGTGTTTAGACACAAAATAATTTATTTTAAAAGGAATATATTAACAAGACATTAACCTTGTTAAATTATAAGCCAATCGACTCAGTTTAGTAACATATGTAGCCGACAGCAACGCCATATACAATGTAAACTCTTTATAACAAATTTCAAACGCTTTTTATTCGTTATAGGGAGGGTAGATAAAACCAATTACCTACAATAATTTCATAACTATCAATAGATAAATTATTCTAAACACATATAAAACAACGCTCTTCTTTTACTGGCCATCTTGACAGTTTAAAAGTTTGTTTGCGACGATAGGTGACGGTGGTCCGTTTAGTAACTGAGACCAAAATTTCCTACAGACAATGTAATCTAAGAATAATAGCACACATGTTAATGCAATTGTTACACATTCATTGCACTCCCTTTGCCCCCCCCCCCCCCTAAAAAAACCCCCCCTACACAACACTTTTTTTGGGGGGGGGGGGGGGGTTTGTGGGGGGGGTGGTAAATAACCTCCCTCCCTATTTAGATTTTTATTTCCCTCCCTTTTTCCCTCCCCCCAACCCTAACCCTTACCCCCCCCCCCCCCCCCCCCCCCCCCCCCCCCCCCCCCCCCGCCCCGGGGGGGGGGGGGTTGGTTTTTTTTCTTTTTTCCCTCTTTTCCCTCTCCCCCCCCTCCCCTTTTTTTTTTTTTTTCCCTTTTTCCCCTTTTTTTTTTTTTTTTTTTTTTTTTTTTTTCTCCTTTTTTTCCCTTTTTTTTTTTTTTTTTTCCTTTCCCCCTTCCCTTTTTTTTTTTTTTTTTTTTTTTTTTCTTTTTTTTCTCCCCCCCCCCGCCCCCCCCCCCCCCCCCCCCCCCCCCCCCCCCCCCCCCCCCCCCCCCCCCCCCCCCCCCCCCCCCCCCCCCCCCCCCCCCCCCCCCCCCCCCCCCCCCCCCCCCCCCCCCCCCCCCCCCCCCCCCCCCCCCCCCCCCCCCCCCCCCCCCCTCCCTCTTCTTTTTTTTTTTTTTTTTTTTTTTTTTTTTTTTTTTTTTTTTTTCCCCCCCCCCCCCCCCCCCCCCCCCCCCCCCCCCCCCCCCCCCCCCCCCCCCCCCCCCCCCCCCCCCCCCCCCCCCCCCCCCCCCCCCCCCCCCCCCCCCCCCCCCCCCCCCCCCCCCCCCCCCCCCCCCCCCCCCCCCCCCCCCCCCCCCCCCCCCCCCCCCCCCCCCCCCCCCCCCCCCCCCCCCCCCCCCCCCCCCCCCCCCCCCCCCCCCCCCCCCCCCCCCCCCCCCCCCCCCCCCCCCCCCCCCCCCCCCCCCCCCCCCCCCCCCCCCCCCCCCCCCCCCCCCCCCCCCCCCCCCCCCCCCCCCCCCCCCCCCCCCCCCCTCCCCTTCTCCCTTTTCTTTTTTTCCCCTTTTCCCCCCCCCCCCCCCCCCCCCCCCCCCCCCCCCCCCCCCCCCCCCCCCCCCCCCCCCCCCCCCCCCCCCCCCCCCTTCCTCTTTTCCCCTCTTCTTTCTCCCCCCCCCCCCCCCCCCCCCCCCCCCCCCCCCCCCCCCCCCCCCCCCCCCCCCCCCCCCCCCCCCCCCCCCCCCCCCCCCCCCCCCCCCCCCCCCCCCCCCCCCCCCCCCCCCCCCCCCCCCCCCCCCCCCCCCCCCCCCCCCCCCCCCTTACACATAAGGCGCCACCACGAAAAACAACAAACAACCAAAAGGAAGTCTACTGTTCTGACTGATACGCCTGAAAAAAAGCAGAGTAGAATATGAAGAAAAGATGATAAAGAAAAGTGAAAGGGGAAAGGAAAAGTTAAAAATTCTGCGAAAAATAAAAAAAGAAAAAAAAGGGAAAAAAAAAAGGGATTCTAACTCATATCAAAATTGGAAGATAGTTAAAATCTTAAATCTTTAATTTGTTGATTATATTTTTTTCCAGTTAACTATTTCATAAAAAACACATTATAGAAAACCTAGTTAGTTTTGTTATATACAAAGCAAAATGATCCAAGATGTGAAAAAATTAAACAATTGAAGGTGTCATTTTTGTTGTTACAACTAGCCCCAACCACGGGTAAGTTGTAACACTTCACTTTTTCAAAAAAAATTAAATTGTGAGATAGTTGCCTGTAGATTTGATAATATTTAGATTAGACTTTATAGATAAATAGTTAGAGTATCGATCAAAGTTTATTTAGTAGTAATTTAGCCAATACACTTCATGTTTTATATGTTAAAATTGTTACAACTACCCCCCCCCCCCCCTAAGGAAACGGACAACAGAACCAACAGCTTTTGATCGGATACCTCATATCGGACCGGTCAATTCTCAACTAGTTAAGTTTGAAATATGGGTTTTGTGTTTAACCAAACAAATGTGACTATTTTTACGTAATGTAGTTTTTCGTTATAACGAATGTCGTTATATAGAGTTTACACTGTATATACATATTTAAATGTAAAAAATCAAATTGTATGTTATGAATAGATTTAATTACGATAAAGCGTTAATTACCATGTGCGGACCCGGTGGCGGTGCAGGGACGTAGCCACCCACAACGTTCAACCCGACCGGTGCCACACCCATGTTGACGCCCACTGGAGTTCCCGGCGTATGTGGCCTGTAATATAATAGATTTTAATTTGGATAATCAAAAGATTATTGAAGTGAAACTTCTTTATCGAGGTTGGAAAAAAATTTAGTGTAACATTTTTTCGTTACGCGTCACATTTTTCGGTTACGCGCCATGTTGCTTTTTGAAGTCAAACTTCTTTATCGGCGTTGGAATGAAACTTCTTTATCGACGTATGGGAGAAATTTTGTAGCAAATCGTCACGTTTTTCAATGATAGTAATAATTCTATTACAATTAATGAAATTCTATACTAATCTTCGTAGTAATAAGGTAAAATGAAATATTTGTATTCATGTCTATGATAATAAAAGCCTTTTGTTAAACTTTATATAATTTAACGAATTTCTGTAAAGTTGCATATAGTAGATCATTTTTCGAAAAATAAGATCATAAAGAAGTTTCACTTCTTACGTGTGTACACCTAGTACACGCACATTTTTTTTTATTTTGATATGACTTTTGCGACAAAAATGTGTAATACTTGTTATGATTTCCGTTTTATGCTGTAAATAAATAAATTGTAGAACTGGTTCTAAGATAGATGATTTAGTTGCTTATATATTTGAGTAAATAACTTTTAACCAAATTCATTAAAATATGAATAGTTCACCTGCTGTGCGAAGGTGTAGTAGGACTTCTCGGTTGGAATGTCTTTGCACTGGGGTTGAACTCCTTTGCGTTGGGGTTCAATGTGGATTTCTTGAGGGTGGCAGTCGCACGTTCTACTCCGGGAGAACTTGCTTCGGGAGACCGACTCATTTCCTCTACTTCTTCTGTGGGGACAGGAGGCGGCTGGAAGACATTTTGAAATAAGTTAAAAAAGTAACATAAGAAGATTAAATCGACTTCATTCAAAGTCGCTTTCCGTCAACTGAAGAAAAAAACCATATCACCAAACCTACTAAATTTGATTAAACTTGAACTATTCCCTTATTATAAACCAATTAAAACCGATGACTTCATTTTCGGTAATTTGTTGGACAAACTACGGAATTCATCTATTTATTATTGGTAAATGCATATTTTTCTAATAAGTAATTATAAAAATGTATATGAAAACATTACACAACCGTGGCTAGCCCATGTACGTATTTAGTCATAATCTAGTTTTGGCCATTTTGCTAATTCTGGTTTCAGAAAGAAAAAACTTTATTATACATAACAAAAAAAAATGCCTTAGCCCCCACAGTAGGATTCTCTGTGTGGGCAACTAGCCTCGCAGTTCCGTATTAAGACTATAGCCAGACGCAGGCACTCACGACAAGTGGTTAATATAGAGGGAAAAAAATTATTTATGACATTTTCCCAACCCAAGAACCGTACAAGCTATATAATAATAATAAATAATCTTTATTTCTTCTCTCACTTATACATACAAGGTTATATGATTAAACTAAGATGATAACATTTGGAAGTGTATGTGAGAGACTGGTCTCTGTAACAGGAGACCGGAACACGTACGATCAGGTCATTGTCATAAGATACAATAGAAGAAAATAAGTAAGTGCTAAAAGAAAACATTGCAAACGGAGTCGTAAAAATATATTGGATGTGTGTGTGCGCGCTTGTGTTTGTGTGTGTGTTTATTTGTGGACAAGTGGGTGTGTTACAGAGTAACAGTTATTAAAAATTTTGTTTCATCATAACTCAACGTCTTCAGCCACGTAGTAACCGTTTTTTTACATTCATATTTAGATAGTGGGTAAATGTTACTACATATATACTAAGTAAATATCTACTAAACAAATTGTAAAAAAATAAAATGTAAAAACCATGTTGTGATAGACTAGATTTTCTGGTGAACGTAACTGGATTACGAGAGATAACGTTACAATGAAAAATTCTTAAGGGAAAATTAAAAGAAACTTGATGCAAAGAACAGAATTTAAAAAAAGTTTTATTATCTGCCTATTACCTTGTGATGCTCTGGTGCCCGTGCAGGCCTCTTGTGGGGTTCTGATGGAGGTCCTACGTTGGCCGATACCTCTGGAGGACTCGGCACTACTGGGCAGGGCTGGGGCTGTAACTGGCGGACATTACAAATTTAGAGATTATCTAACGTATTTTTAAACTCTCATAAAAGTTTGAACTATATATAGGTTCGATTACTGGAACAATAATTAACCACGAGATCTCTGATATAATTACCTGAGGCTGAGGATTGTGTACGACGGCAGGGGGCTGTGGCTGTGGTAGAACTGGCTGTGGGGGCTGCGTGGGCGGCTGCTGTGGCGGGGCCATCTGTGGGGGTGGGGCCATTTGAGGAGGCGGGGCTTGCGGCGTAGGAGGGGCCGGTGACGTCACCAGTTTGAAGTCTTGATGGAACTTGCGTAATTCCTGTAAAACAGTTTTGTCATGAAATGTTTTCTATAAGGGAACCTCCGAAACTGTAGTCTTACTTCAAACGTCCAGTAAATTCTTAGTTCTATGTATTTCAATACTGGTGTATAAATTAAATTTTGATTAAAACCCTGAATTCAACATAACATCCAAATAAATTTACTATCCTATAATATCACATTCACATATTTTAGACCTTATAATTTTAACATATCCATGATTAAGACCAGTTCAATAAATATATATCCTTGTTTATTTTTAGTACCTGTAACTCCTCCTGTCTGCGTGGTTCTCTGGGCTCCCTCTGCTCTCTTGGTTCCCGATCACGTTGGTCTCTTGGATCCCTGGCCTCCCGTTGTTCCCGTGAGTCCCTGTCTCTCTGATCTCTTTGGTCCCGTGATTCTCGGTCTCTGGGGTCACGTTGATCCCTAGGGTCCCTTTGGTCTCTGGGATCCCGTTGGTCTCTGGGGTCTCGTTGGTCCCTCGGGTCTCGTTGGTCTCTGGAGTCTCGCTGCTCTCTCGGATCCCGTTGATCCCTGGGGTCTCGTTGGTCTCTTATATCTTGAGAGCCGTGCCGTGATCTACCAGCCTCTTGTGGTCCGCTCTGAAAAGTACACAAAATACAATTCCCTATACTATTAACACTCCATTTATACTTTTTCAAGGTTTTATGAAAAAGAAAATAAATCTTATTTTAAGGATTGTAAAAGAGAAAAACTTAAATATTTTTCATACTTTATTTAAAAATCACAAACAAATATATTTTGATACATTATTTGGGAACTATTCTTTAAGTCACTTTCAATAATAAAGAAATTACTTTTAACATAATACCGCAACTGGTAGTCACTACATGAACCTTTCGTGGGGTTGGAAATATTTGCCCCTAGATCTATGCGGTACATTGGGCATATTACGGAATCTACGATTAAATGAACCCCAGTCTGACGATCTATGCCCATTAAAGGAACTATTAAGCGGTGCATTAGTATGATATGGTGTGTATCTGTTACTAACGTGATGGTGATGCGATGGGAAGCCTTGCCGTGGCCCTGAGGCACGCGGTTCGCCGTTCATTTTGCTGTTTGATTGTCTGAAACAATTAATATTTTTGTTAGTACTGTTATGACGTACGTTACGAGGAAGTCATGTTCTGGTGAGTGAGAATGTAAACGAAAGACGAAATCATTTTACGATCTGTTCGATTCTGATTAGTCAACGGCATCTCTTGTCCAATAGGCGTTGACACGCGACATGATACGTCATGTTAGATCCAATCACAATTGAGCTCAATGTTTTGTGCGTCATTTGTTTTACATTCCCCCGAATATTCATATTAGGAATCCAGACAGTGGCGTAAGTAGGCTGGCAGGGCTGGCAAAATGTCACGGGCCCCCGACCCAAGATCCCCATCTGCCCTGCCCAAGAGATATTATGTTCTATGGATGACTGTGCAGTCTCCAATACACATTGGGCTAGCCTGGGGACTACAGACCATTCCCTCTCATCTAAGAGAGGTGGCCTATGGCCATAAGTGGGACATATACAACGTGTAATTGAGTACTCTGAAAATCTCGAAGTTTATTAAAATTAAACTGAGTAGGGACGATTTGTACTGATAGGCCCCCATCAAAAGAATTGCCACGAAAGAACCACGCCACGTGGCCACGGGCCCCAGCTGTTATAGTTACGCCATTGAATCCAGAGCTAAGTTATTACATTAATTCAGTTATGCAAATTGATTGTTAGATTTACACATATATGATATTATATTAAAGACCTTTGGGACAAGATTTATATTAAGAGAATTGCGTAATGGAATGAAAGTGGTCATATTATCTAAGATTTTGATACACATTTATTTTCCCAAGACCGTTTTTAGTACATAAAAGTTCGACATTCATTCGTATGCGAAGTGAATTACATGAATTTATCTCTGTAAATTTTCACTATACCTGTTCTATTGATACTCAACATATTAGCCTATTTTATTTTCCTTACGTTCCTTACATTAGCTTATTTTTGGGTTCTACGAAAAATTCAAAAATTACGCTAATAGGTAGGAAAACGTATAATGTAACATTAGCAACTAAGTTTCACGTATACTGACACGTACGCATGATGCGGGAATGGTGGCGGGTGGTGACCAGCCGCTTGCGCCGCGTAGCTCTTGTTGCCAGGTGTGCCAGATGGGTTGCCCGACTAGAATAATAAAATACAAATTTATACGGATTGAATTGCGTAATTGTCCTAAATTAGCTGTTTACTCTATAAAGTTCCATTCACTAGAACTATTAACTATATAAAACATATCGTTGTTAAAAGTCTGTGGTATCTTGTCACACAGACTACTAAGTCAATTTTCAGATAATTAATGGTTGACAAAAACTACTACTTCGACTTCAAATACGCAATAACTAGCACAAATATATTATTATATCTATATGAGACTACTAATATAATGCGAAAAATTACATATTTTTAGGATTTGATGGATTAAATCGTGACTTTTCATAGTGAAGAGACTGAGTTATATTTATCATGCCGGTATATAATAGTAATAATTGTTACCGTATGTTCATCCCGTCTGTCTGCGGGCGGCGCTGGGGGCGTAAGATGGTGCCGAGGTGGTCTGGGGTCCTTGTCTCGGGCCTTTCCACCCCCGGGGGACCCGCCCCCGTTCCCTGATTTCACTGGCTTGTTTACTTGCTGTTGCTGCTAGAATTCAAAACACATGCATATAATAACAGCACGCCAATATCGTGTAAGAAAATACCCATTAAAAAGCTTCCAAATATTATAATTTTACACTGTCATCGGTAACAAAAGCGATCAGTACGTAAAATCGCATAGTTATTGGTGTATAACTATTGAAGCGCTCCCGTGGAAATATTTAGAAGTATTCATACATATCAGTTTTCAAAATAAAATGTGCGGAAAAATAATAAAATGTGTATAGGAAAGGTAAAAGACATACAGTTAATATTACAAATATTAAAATTAAACACCAGTACTAATCTAACAAATTACCGATTGTAATAAAGGTTATCAGACTTTTAAATATTAGAGATATGTAACAAATGGTCATCGCCTTCTGATAGGGCTAGTATGTTATTATTTTTTTTCGAAATTTATTATACATATTAACAAACTACTACTACCAAGTCTGTTCTAAATTTTTGAAATTAGACCCAATTTGACAATAACAATGGCGTGATTTAAAAGTAACATTTTTTTTAAAAATGTCTTTATTCATTTAAGTGGATATGCATTACAATGTGTAAGATTTGGGAACCCTAGATTTGGGAAACTTAAAAAGTAAGAAATACCTGTGTCAGGGTTCCCAGCTCTTCCATAACAAACGTAAATATAAATTCCTTAAAATATATTTATATATAATCTAATTACATCTTTTATTTAATTTACTTTTCAACTGTTATCAACACGCATGAGTGCATGAGTGTGTGATGAAATGTGTAAGTGAGTGAATGAAAAGGTGTGTACTACATACTGATTGAAAAAGCATCTCTAACGCTGCGCAAGGTATGCTTAGAAGCCAGTCCTTTAGTCGTATCTTTATATTGTAGACGGTGAGCGGGTAGATGTTAATCAGCCTATTTAATTTATTATATATAAAGTCTGCTTGCATATTGCGTCTGGCGAAGTCAGTCCTTACGGTCCGACCGACGACAATATCCCTATTTCTGTTTAGGTACAGCCTATTATTAAACGGGAGCGCTCTGTGTGTTTTTAAAATTATTTTGTGTACAATATTTTAATAGCTGTTAATAGTTACCTGTCCTGGCTTCCTCTTATTAGGTATAACATATTTGGGCTGCTCCTGTTGCGGCCTTACTACAGCTGCGAATCTTTCTTCTTCGTCACCGTTTTCCAATTCAATTCGAGCCTTGTATGTAGCAGTGCCTTCTATTTCAGCCGCTATTTCTTCAGCTTTCGCTTCAGCTTCCCTGTAAAAAATAGGGTTTTTAAATTGTAAATAATATAAAATTGCAGAGTTGGAGATGAAAAATAATATATTTTCTACTACAGATAATAGTTTATATCAGATGATGAACGACAAGTTGAAAATAAAACCCAAGTTATAATATTTTAATGGCAAACGTCCAGCAGTTTCCGAGATTATTCGTTACGAACATACATACAAATCTTTCGTCTTTATAATACTATAATTACTAAAAAGTAAAATCGTTCATAATTCAAGTATAACAGACAAATGAACATGACATGAACTAAAATTTTATATTTCAAAAATTTTTCACATTCCCTGGCCTCCTCGCCTTACATAAACTCGCCTAAACGATCACAATATGAGAACATCTTCATCTCCCTACGGACTTTAATAATGGGATTTACCTGTAATCCTGCGTATCCTTCCTCTGAAGTTGCAAAGTATACCCCGCTAAGGAATGGTCATATGTACTGTGTACGCCGTACACTTCTTCATTCTTACGGAACATGTCATTTGCGTCCCAGCCGTTGGCTCGGTGATCTAACTCTAGTTCATCGAGCCTAGCGTCCCCATTTACGGAGGGTGAGTCACCCGTGTCACCATCACAACCGTCCCATGGCTCCAACTGACGATCTTCGGCTGAACGGCCGTTACCTGTTAAAACGTATGTAACAAAAGAAAAATCTTCCTTAGTAGGTACTTCACGATGAAATGAAATTCTAATTAAATCTATTATCCATAAAAAACTTAACTGCAAAGAAGATAGCCTTGATATTTATGATAGTTGTTTTGTATAAGTTTTGATAAATTTGTTTATAATAAAAAACCAGTGGCGTTACAAACTTTTAGGTCTGGGTCAGATCTGTGTATATGTTTTGGAATCATTTGTTTTTTCTAACAGGCAAGTAGATCGTCAGACTTCTGTGCCTAACACACGCCGTAGACGTTTTGCGTTTAAGGCATATCGGTTACCTCACTTTGATTTTCTTCACCGTACGAAAGTGTTAAATGCGGAAAAACAGAAAATCTATTGGTGCATATTTAGCCGGGGTTCGAACCAACGACCTTATTGATGAAAGTCGCACGCTTAAGCCACTTGGTCCAACACTTCAATTCAATTCATTATATCCATTGTTATTACAATACATTGAATAAATAAACACTGCCGCGTGATAAGCCAGAAAGATGGTGTCGAGTTTTTTGAACTCAAATTCGCAAAGATTTAAGATTTAGATACGTAATAAATGCTTACCATTAAATTTGCTAGAGATTGCACTATCTGTCTGAAACACGTCATGTGTGGCGTATTCGAGGTCTGCGTCTTTCGCCCGGATGGACACCACGTCTTCGGGTTTGAAGATTAATTTCTCAACCACAGAATCCACCGCCACTACACCCTCTTGGTCCACACGATGGGCTACTTCTAGTACAATCTGTAAGTAAGAATAATATTAGAGACAATGGTCTTCAATATCTACGTCGCTTCACATCTACTAAGTAAAATATAATCAAAGCAGATCGAGGTATAAGATACAATTTATAAGCTCGAATTAAAAAGTTCTATCAAAAACCAATTAAACCAGCTAATTTAACTATTTATGAATATTCAAACATATTATAATCAAGTAAGATATGTTTAAACATAATTAGTATACGATATTTATTTCCAACAAGGAGTTCAAGTCATTTTTATTGTGATTAGATCAAGTAATTATTGTTTTTTTTAAAGATAGTTTTACGTTTTAATTCTACGTTGAGTTCACTGTGAGGTCTTGCGTCCAACCTCGGCTGTGCACAAATGGATTTTTCTACATTTAACATGCCTGTGCAGAAAAGGAAACATTGTTAGCCGGTTGATCACGTAGTTGCCTAAAGAAAAATTAAACAGGCGAAGATGTGAGATAGAGATCCTCTACAAAATTGTTCTGATATTATTTTTTGATAAAATCAAAAGAAAAAGAGTTATTAAGCAAAAAAGGATTTTTTTTCACTTTTTTACTCATAACTTTTGAATTTTGGCTTTATGATAAAAAGTCACACAGACATAATTGTAGGCAAAGCGATTTGCTACAAAATATGTCTTCACAATTTTTTTATACGATGGATAGTTTAGTAGATATAGCAAAAAACGCGTTTTCACCCCTTTTTCCAAGATTGGGTTCCAACTTGGGTTTAAGCTTGTATTGACCCCCCCTACATATTCCATAAATAAAATTGCGTCCTCTAACAAATGTTCAGTTTGGCCCTCAAATTGTTACATTTCAATGGACTATACATCAAACTGTTTGATGTAGAAATAATTTTTGATTCACGCTATGGATAACATTCAAAGCACTCTCCAGAAGCATTCATTAAGGGTCAATTTATTCACTCGTATAAACTACGATGGTAGACACGTTAAACATTTAAAATACTCTTTCGTGCTGGGGCTTCAAAAATTCAAATTATTCCCTAAAGCCCATAATTTTTACTTGTATAATTGAGGGCGTAACAAAGGACATATCCAGGACGCTCGCATGACAAATTACAATACACACAGGCACTAGGAAGTTTGTCGAGATAAGCGTGATTCATCACCGGATCATGAACTACGTATTAGATTACATATGAGATCTTTGTTAGTTTTTTTGTTAGTAACTTGACGTTTAGTTACCCTTATAGCGAGGCATCTCTGTATTTGATTGGTATACTAGATAACCAGAGAATAAACTTAGTTTGACATAAAAAAGGGGGTTAAGCAAAGTTGACAGGTGGTGCACTACAAGCAACGTCTTCTTAATGAAATCGCATAAACAAATGATTACGATTGTCATATCAATGTATGTCAAGTCTATAAAAATATCTTTGCTTCTCCTAAGGAATACCAGAAATAATAAAAAAACAATTGGTGTTTCAACCATGCGTACTACTCTATTATGTAAATTATTAAAAAACATCTAATTCTAACTATTAGCTTTGAAGAAACAATATAAAGACGATATTTTAAATGCTTAAACGCAACCACTTATGTAGTACTCCCGTCTCCAAGAATCGATTAATATTGACTCCAATATTTGGGTCACTCATAAATTTCGTTTTTATGTTACAATCACTTAAACAATGTGTAAGTTAGTTGTTTAAATCTTCACGCGATTATATGCTTTAAAATCAATCGTCTAAAATTGTTTATATTTTTATAACATAAAGATCAATAAGAGCGGTTCAATTATAGGAATTTATAGTTTAAGTGATCCACTTAAACGTAATAATGAACCTACTTTATATATTCTTTTACAAAGTAAAATATAGTATTGTTTTGTTGTTTTCTAAAAAAAAATATTACGAAAAATTACGAATGAATTCGCATAATTTATACTATCTACGCGTGGTTACAAAGTAATATATAATTTTATAAACGTACATTCATAAGTTATATAGGGTACAATAATTAAATAAGTTATTCCATAGATATAGTACATCCATGCTATATCAATTCATATTGAACCTTTTATTTTGTTTAAAAAGACAACGTTGATTTTGTAAAAAATATTGAAATATTGATATTATCCGATTGAAAAAGTATCAGAGTAAAGTAGAATATTTTTTATGATAATTTATTGCACCAAATACTAATATAATTTATGATACCGTTGTACGCGGACCAAATCTAAGCTCCAGCTAGTGTTAAACAAAAACGGTTGTAAACAACATTATTATTCGCATCATGTTCAAAATACAAAACTTCATTTGAATCGCTCTATTGAATTATGAAAGCGTATCAATGTAATTTTCGCATAATATTATGTATTCGCACTAAGTCTAGAATCTAGACAAAAAGTGAAAGTAATGAGATCCGGTTCATAAAGATAAATCATTATTGGAATTATTGGGATTTGTGAATCAATACGGCCCGCATATCAAAGAGCTTGAACCAAATATTATATTACTTTTAAGTTTCTATTTCCCAGTTTGTACACAAAGTTTTAGACTACATTATTTATTTTATTTATTTACACTTCGTTGCAAATAAAAGAAACACAATACATAAAAATTATAAGGGTGCATCTCTTATAATTTTATATCGGGCGGCCTTATCGCTAATAAGCGATCCCTTCCAGGCAACCCTAGTTAAGGAGAAAAACATAAAAAAAAACATGATGCGTGCGAGAAGTGCAGAACCAAATGTTATATAAAAAAATTACATTATGAATCGAATCGCGAAAAAGACTTCTAAGAATTAAATTTTGTGCGTGATAGTGCGGTGATATAGATAAGTAAATGAGTCCGATATATTTTAATGTCTTTTTAATAGGTTTTCCAATCCCACGTATGTCACGACTGTGTATATGTTTAAATGATCTATCTCTGTAGCAAACTTAAGGTAATCGGAGAAAGGCAAACGAACTAATGTTTATTAGGATAATAATTTATCAGTGTGATGAAAGTGTTTCTTTAAAGTCAACAACTTAGCGGAGATCCCAAGAGAATACCAAAACAAACCAGGGGGATGTATTCGAGGGGTTGGTATAACTCTCTGAGGACCACAGAGGAAGGCTGGTGTAAGTCGAGCTTCACAAACCCTAGTAGCCTTAAGAGTTACCCCGAATACTTAAATTCGGTATTCAGTTGCTCTTGTATTGTACCGCCCAGTACCATACAACCCTTAGTATGGTATGTGTGTATCTATTTCGTGATCATTTTTTACATCTTATTAGACAAGTAGGAGATCAGCCTTTTGTCCCCAAAACCGACCCGTCTAACATTTCCTCACAATGTTATATGTAAAGAAGAAGTCTATTGCGGCACAGCCGTAATAGGAACGCACACACCCAACAGTGATTGACACAGCCATGCCTGCCTGGCTTGCAATACTGCCTAACTTAAACTATTGTATCAACAACAATATAATCTAACGACAACATCAATACAATATTATTTTATTTAAGATTCTTGTTCTAAAACATCAGAATTCGCTACAAGTAGGTGAATAACCTTATTTTCTTTGAACCCGAATACCACCAAACTGGTCGTGCACCGAAACCACCGAAGACAACTGCGCAGTGGGCGGTTGTCTAGACTAAGTTAAATTTAATCTGCTAATCACATTACCACGCTTCATAATATTAGCAACTTTTGATTTTTACACCAGTATACCAGATCAAATCGCTCTCGTTGCTTAATTGGTCACACTTTGATTAAAGTTTATAGAATAAGGTGAGTTCCGGGGTTCTTAGTTTAGAACACAAAGGCTGATCTTGATTCTCCCTATTGCTTTTATCGTTATGTTAAATTAGTTACATACTGTTAATATTCTAAGTTCTAACATAAAAATATTATATCTTAGTAAGAACAATCGTATAAAAAATTAAAAGAATAATTCCTCTGATTTAAACTTAACTTTGTACAAGCGTCACAACTTGTTAGACTATTTACGTTTGACAAATGTTTACCAGATTAGTTTAACCAGTTTTTATTAGATAATAGTTAAGCCAGCCTTATAAATTACACATTAGATATAAGTTATTCACGCAATGAAATAATATAAATCTTTATAACTAAGTCACTGAAACTGTTGCACAATAACGGGCAAAAAAATCTTTTGTATTTTGTCGGACTGTATTTTTTTACTACAACATTTTAACCTAGATTTCACATGGTACTACGGATATAAAACGTACCGATTACTAACCCACTAAATACATAATTACAATAAATTAAATATAAATGGATCAATGATATCAAATCTATATTAAAATTAGAAACTAAACTTTAATATAATATAATGAATAATTCGTAATAATAAACTGATATCATGTTGCGTAGCCGAAAGCCGGAAGTATCACTAAGATTTATGCACTTTAGCTGCATAATAAAATAATTACTTTTTAATAATGGAATTATTAAAATTTACTTTAACCTGTTTTTGAAATCTATGCTTATAAGGTTAAATTAAAATCAAAATAACAATCTACTTTTCCAATAAGGTCTTTGAAGACACAGTTACCTTAAAAACAATGTCTGTGATATTTATGTTATGTAATATTATGAGACCTTAGACGTCCAAATAATCTGCCAATGAAGCTATCATCTTACACATACTATCTATACTCTTATCAATAATTCTTATTTAGTTATTAACAAAAAACTTAAGAAAAATATCACAAACAGCAAACAGTGCTTAGCGTGTATGTATTTCAATTTTAATTGACTATGAAGAATATTCATTCATTCATACAATATGGACTATATAGTATCTTCGTTACGAGTGTTTGTAAAAAATAGCCGAGATCACAATGCGTATATCGATTCGACCCACTTTGCAGTTTGGTAGATAATACGGCTATGCAGTCTGTGACCGATGTCTTTAAAATTAAACATTATCATTTTTAGAGCTATTGTAATAATTCTCTTTACTTTATTATTTAACCGATCTACAAGTTCTTGGCATCTGGAAGGGGCGCTAGTATTGTATTTGTAAAATGTGATATTTGTCATTAATTCATGAGTAAAATATCCCAATGGAAATCATTAATATTATGCAGAAATCTGAAGAAACTTCAGGGCTTTGGATTTTCTAATACGGCGGATTCAGTGCAAAGACTGCACTCCAAATTTTACCATAAAGCTAAACGCTAAAGGGGTGAAAATGTAAAACGATAGATAAATTATGCTTATGATGACAACTATAATACATATAATATGTTGGACTAGCTCTTATATTCTACCATAAACAGCCATATTAAAAAAATAAAATAGAGTTACGTCAAAGTGTGAACTGAAAGTCTTGAAGACACCCTCCCAGAGACCGCCTGAGGGTGTTAGCACTTGCACGATGTCTCCGACATGTGAGGTCATGGCATGCATGAAGTGTGGATTGTTGTACACACCCTCTGCTACCACACGGCCTCGTGGTGACCTGAAAGAATTGCTATATTAAACATCTCCAATACCAAAACTTTTGTCCGTTAAACCGGCATTTCTTACCTACCCTCAGATTCAGTCAAAATTTAGCGCTAATTTAATTAGCATTATGTCAAACATGTACCGGTATAGACATACACCTAGAAATTAGCCTACGTCAAGCACAGAAATTTGAAAAAAGAATCAATTAAACAGTCTCGGAAAGTCTGCCCCATGACTATTGGGAGGTTACACGCCTCACTCCCAACTTGCATTAAAATTGTATGTTTAAGCCGCTGAAGCAATTTTATTAAATAAACATGGCATGCCATTTCCAATAAGGCCTAATCGAAGGCATTTTTTGGAAATTAAACTACAATACATATTTGTATGTAATAGTACATAGAACTTTCAAAAAATTTTAGTCAGCTATTTTTATATTCTTCCTTCTTCATTTCTTAGAGTCTTCAATCTGCTCTAGCTTCTTCTTATATCCTATCTTAGTAATATCTGGATTTTAAAAACATTTTAAAAAGTAATTTTTAATTTTTGTTTTTAAATAAGTCTATGAATATTTTTATTGCCAGACATTTTTACATTTAATATTAGAGGATTTTAAGTTTTTTATAAAAATTTCAAAGTATTTTAGAATGTCTGTAATTTTAATATTATGTTATTTAAATATAAGAAAATCTAAAAATGAATTTCAGACATTAATTCATTATTAAGCTTTGAATTAAAATGAAAAAGTATTCATATGATGAAGCATTGCATTTGAGGAAGCTTATTTTTAATTTTTTTTTGTTCAAATCAAAATAAAACAACTTCTCGTCAAAATGATTTGAAATATGAAAAATAATCCTAGAATCAGCTTCTTCTTTCTTCAAGATAATGATTCTTCAATAGTTTTAATTACTTAGTTATTTATACTTTTATGAATAAATTTATTAAAACTTACGTAAATGTTTTTATTACCAATAAACATCATACTCCATACTTTTCATGATTTTTCATTTTAATTCAAGGCTTAACAATAATTAATGTCTGGCAAATTCATTTTTAGATTTTCTTATATTTAAATAAATAATATTAAAATTAAGACATTCTAAAAATACTTTGAAATTTTTATAAAAAAAAACTTAAAATGTCTGGCACATAGTTACAATGTGAAAAATTCTGGCAATAAAAAAAGTATGTCAGGTATAGACTTATTTAAAAAGGAAAAATTAAAAATTGTGCTTCTTAAAATGCAATGCTTCATCATACTGCAATACTTTTTCATTTTAATTAAGACTTAAAATCAATTAATGTCTGGCAAATTCATTTTTAGTTTTTCTTATATTTAAAGAAATAATATTAAAATTACAGACATTCTAAAATACTTTGAAATTTTTTTATAAAAAAACTTAAAATCGCGTCTGGCAATAGTTAGCAATGTGAAAAATGTCTGGCAATAAAAAAGTATGTCAGGTAGACTTATTTAAAAAGGAAAATTAAAAATTGAGCTTTTAAAATCAATGCTTCATTATATAATATTTTTATTTTAATTCAAGACTTAACAACAATTAATGTTGGAAAATTCATTTTAGTTTTTCTTATATTTAAAGAAATAATATTAAAATTAAGAATTTAAAATATTTGAAATTTTTATAAAAAAACTTAAAATCGCTCTGGCACATAGTTAGCAATGTGAAAAATGTCTGGCAATAAAAAAAGTATGTCAGTAGACTTATTTAAAAACAAAAATTACGCTTCTTAAAATGCTTTTAAAATCCAGGATATTACGTGGACAGATAGGATGCCACTAAAGAACCAACCGCTACCGCCAGCCAGATTCCAAGACTCTAACCAAAGTGCAAGAAGGAAGACATATCACAAAATCAGCTGACCTAAAATTCTTTCTTTTCAAACGTTGCTACCTCCCGTATATAAAGCTTATGTTGCAATCATATGTAGTGTAGTAGAAAGAAATAACAGTAAAAGATAGCTAATTTGCAATTTAAATTAATTAACTAAGGGGAAACATAATCAAACACCATTAAAATATACTGTTACTAATGACTTGCTAATATGGAGAACTTTTATTTGACACTTGATGACTATTTTCAATGGAATAAGGATTAAAATAATAAACACTTACAATTCTTATTAATATCAAGGAACTCTCTACATAGCACTAAGCCAAGTTGTTATTTGACTGAATGGATTACCAACATACTATTTTGTAAATTTTCACTTGTTCTATGTTTGTCATTTTTGGACAGTAAAATTAGTGGAAATGGCACTAAGACTGGCTATAAATCAGCACAGGCAAACCTTACTGTTGGCTAACTAGCAGAGCCAGTTGTCTTTTATTTTACAAAATAAATCTGCAGCTGTTAATATAGGTGGTCTTATATGTTTTGTGTGATAATAAAGTTTAATTCATATATCAAAAAATCTGATTTAATATAATTAAATATTCTTGCCCATAAACCATTAAAAAAACTAGTTTTCACTTTAATCAAACCCAAGATGTCAGGGTTTTATGCAAAATGCAAACAAAGAGGCCGTCATATAGGTAGTGTATAGGTAGGTTAGTGCAAAATTAACATACCAACACTGTTAATTGTGACAATACCTACCTTACTTTTTTGAAACTTTCACATTGATCAAATTAATAGTAAGAAAGTAGGACAGCACTTTATATTAATACATTTTTAACATGGTAACCAGTCCATAAGTAAAACATTTAATAATTTCTTTAAAAAAATTAGCCCAATGTATTAGAATCATACATTTAATGTATGTACAATGTAAAAACAAAATTTCAAGCAACTTTTGTATGAGAAGAGAGGTTATAATTATTATTTATGTAAGGCAAAAGAAGACTCTGATAAAATTATAAAGTAATGTTACCTTATACCATCAGAAAAAATATATGATTTCAATTAACATAGAAACCTTCTAAAATGAAAATTTTAAAATATGTAAAGGAGTGAGAAGTAGGAATGGAAGAACTATAACTACTAAACATATAGTATTTATAAAGATAAAACTCATCTTGACTTAAATAATAAAACTCTAAAGCAGTCTTAGGAAACATTAGTTTATAGTGCTTGAAGATCTTTCAAACAGTCATATTATCAATAGGATGATGTAATCATTCCAAGTATTTCATTTCTTATTTATATATTGGGCCAATGTTTAAAACAATTTTCTTATAATACAGGAACAGTATCAGAGCTTGAAACAGTTGTTTTCTGCAAGAATTTAATTTAACTAGGTTATATATATTTGAATACAAACCTTTGCAGCAACTTTTAAACATAAATTCACTGTACAATTTTATCGATTCAAAAAATAATATCACAAAATGTTAATAATTACTATTCATTAAAAATCATACAGTAAACAACTTACTTTAATATTTGCATAGAATATGGAGATAAGAAAAATAATACTAGTATTAACTAAAGAAATAAGGACTTTGGACACTTGCCAGAAAAGATTTCCTTAATTTAATAGGAGAATTTAAAGAGCAGTATTGGCCTAATGACAACTGTGCAACTTTCAACCCTGGGGTGGCATGTTTGAACCACAAATGTGCATCAATGGTATTTACTTTCTATGTACACAATTTGAACATGTATGGTGAATGTTGGCAAGGTTGGAAGGCTGCTCACCTACTTGTTTATAAATTAAAACTATCAAAAAGGCAGATGCAATCTGAGCAAAATATCATAAGGTTAATAGTACCTCTGAAAAATAAGTAAATTTAAATGGATTGTAATGGATTTTCAGATTAAAAATTAAACCACCCTAAAAATAATTATAAATTTTATAGTAAGAAGATTAAGTATATTAAATTCATACTCTAAGATATTGCAAGTGTAATTAATGGAATCTATTAGGGATCAGCTGTTCAGACAGAGCTATATTAAACATAGCGAGTTTGCAACAAAAGTAGGACAAATATCTATAGCTAGGCAACACGTTAGGCGGCCGCCGCTCATATTTAGCACCGCGGCAAAACCTATGTGTTCCATGCTTTTGTTTACACTTCTCTGATACAGTAGCCATGCTTATATTAGAAATACTGTCAATGTGAAGAAATAAACGTCTATTTTTTGTACCTGGAGCTGTGTGGAGACACTGGCCAAATAACAAAGACAAGTCATCCCATTGCTGAAAGTTGATGTATTGTAAACTATTACCTCGGTGGCCCTTGGCGATTTTTTCGTTTGTTGTTCATATCTCCTTCGCCCGACTGCCCCGGCGGGTAGGCACCTTCTCGTCTACGCGTAGGGACCGGAATTTTGGCTAATTATCACTTCTTTCTTTTACAACACAGTCCTTTCAACTTTCGCGGATGCACAAAACTGCAGTTGAAATTAAGAGTTAACACTCAAAACGCGACAACAAGGATGCATCGATTTCACTAAAGTCTATAACATTTGCCAACAAATATAAAATCAAATATATTTGAATACAAAATCGCAGTTCGATTTATTCTCGGGAACTAATCCCAAAAAATAAACGGGTTGGCAGATTTCTCGTGCCTGCAATCAGCGCAGGAATACAACATGGCGCTGTGACGTATTTGTCAAAAGAATTGCAAAAATTATTAAATTAACTTTATGGAAATGTTACATTAAAATAATAATACTTTTAAATAATATATATTTTTAAATATTGAAATATTTTCTAACTTTATATAATTAATATCGTAATAATTAATAAGGTCAGCTTTTGACTAATATCCACTCCTAAACTTTCAATATGGCGGACAATGCTTGACTTTTAGAGTTGCCGTTTCCTAATTTTTGGCAATCTAATAATGTATGTTTAAAAAACGTACAGACTCGCATAAATAATTTATAGTGATATAAAAATTAACAATTCATTCACGAAGTATTCTATACAATAAATAAATCATTAACCTAAAGACGTTTATACGCTATATCTGTGGTGATGTAGATAAAAATTATAGAATTTTAATAGCATTTTGCGATCGACAATAGGCGGGAAACCGGAAACGGAAAGAATAAGGTGTAAGGAACGCAACGCGCGCGCGCGAATTACGCTTTATGGTGACGGGAGGAGGTTATAACTACTATCTGTATCTATCCCGTTCGTGAATAAAATATTGATCGTTAAGTAATTTATGCGTTGCTGTAAAATGAATCCAAAAAACATGGATAATATGACGCAGCGTGAAAAATTCCAATTATTAAATTCAGAAGTGCGCTCGTTTTATGAATATTGTAAAGAAGTAGGTATGAGTGATGATGATATGGACGTAATTTGTCGCCCTTTGATGAATGCTGTGAGGAGGGCGACAATTAAGAGATGGCGAAACATTTTCTTGATATGCGCGGTATTTGTGACATTTGGATATATTGTGAGCCAAACGGATTCATTTCAATGGAATGCTGCCGCCGTGGCTCGCTTAACTTTGATAAAGCTTCTACCGTTTTGGAACTGGACTCCATTATACTATAACAAATGTATTGTTGAAAGGCTCCCGGTGCAGAATTTTGATAGTGAACCGGTTTCTACAAACGATTGTATTGCATGTGAAGCAATTCGTAAGTATCGTTATTTTAAAAGAGATTAAAACAAATAATTAAAATTGCTTATTAACAAGCAACCAAATCAAATAAAATTTGTGCTGATTTCAGCATCAATTTTTCTGATAGTTTAATATTGCCTAATCTTATCATCATCAGCCTTGTTATAAACAAACCCATTCATCGCTATTTCTGAATACAACTCTTTCTTATCCGGTACACTCATGACAGAGCGGTCGTGATCGCTATGAAGTTGTGATAATAGAAGGGGCAGATGTGATGCGCTTCACGACGTTTCGTTGCCTATCGTTGCCTATTAGAAGTCATCCGGTGTCACTATACCTAAATACGTTCTCGTTAAATAGTCCTTTTGTTTCAGAAAACATAGCTCGCATATCAAAAACCGACCACAATGAAGTCTTAAACCACCACTTGCTACGAGGAGCTCCTGTCGTAGTTAATGATGCCTATCACGACTGGGCAACTGGGGAGTATAACTTTACAGGCCTCGTCAGCAATGATGACCGCTTACGCGAATCTGTCCCTTGCCGAATCCTAACCAACATTCGTATTGGTAAACAGCCAATGGATTTGCAGGAAATTGTATCACGTATCACCGAGAGCAACATTCCTAGCTGGTTCATACATTTTCAGAACTGCGATCTTCGAGCCGTGAAAACCTTCAGAGTCCTTGCCCCTCGACCTTATTTCCTTTCGCCAGAAATTCCTCCCTCGCACTTCAACTGGTTGCTGCTATCCAAAAACTACGACACACAGCGTTTTAAGTATTTGGAGTTCGATATCGGTCTAATAATCATGTCGCAGCTAAAAGGAAAGAATTACATTCAGTTGAAACCGCGTATGCCCTGCGAAAACATTTGTAGTCCCATTAAAATTGAATTACAACAGAGTGAAACATTGGTTTTAAGTAATTCACTCTGGGAGTTTGAATACATGCCGGGAAAAGGTGAGAATCTAGCTATGATCACGGAAACTGATTGGGTAGAATCGTAATTTTTTATCTAAGAAATGTTACTACACAATGTACCTAATTATTATACGAAATACACCTTTTGAAAGATGCTACGAGTATTAGTCACCATATGATTTTATTTCAAGTTAGAGAAATGTTTTAATTTTTTATTCATCAAAAACCAATTTTGTAAAATATCTTGATTCATAAAATGTGCCAAATATCATACAACGCACATGTATAATAAAGATCACAGTGCACCGAATTACTTACATCAGATTAGATTTAAGCTAAACTTGCTTACACACATTTGTTTGATTTATTACATTTTGGTAGAATATTCAATAGGAGTTATGATTTATGAGTTTAAATTTAATAGCATTTTGGCGATTGTACTTTAAATTTAAGTTTGTCATTTAATTTTGAAGATCAAATTAACTCACATTTATTTTACTGTCACATACACATGAAACCAATTATTTCTTACCATTGCACTAACAATCGAAAATTGTAGCCTAAACTATGTATTTATAAGATACCCGCGTTTATTATTATAAATGTAATTGGATCTATTATAACAAACACACACCAGTGTTAATATAAAAATTAAGAATATACCCAAAATACCTTTTAGAATATAAGAATTACTATAAAAACATGTAGCCCTTAAATTAATAATGTAGCAAAAGTAATATATAGACATATCAGCCAGTTCATTCTTAAAATATTTTTACTTACTTTTCAGTTTGGCCGAGATATGTGTTAAAAATAAAAACAAAATCGTATTGTTAAGCTACTTGTACTGTTTAATAAAGTTTTAGTATTAACAAGAAAACTTTAAGACATGGTTTTGAAATTTATGAATAAATTTTAGTACAAAATCTACAGTTCATGTAGTGGTGAGCTAATTTAAATTGAACTGTTGAAAGCAGAAGAACATGACACAGTTAATCATCTCTAGTGATGTGTGATATTATTTTTTTGAAGTTACTGATTGAAGATATTTTTATTGCAAACGTGCTTTTTGTTATTATAGTTTTTAAATACCTCGAAAAGTATGTTGTCCGTGGATTTTAGGTAATCTATTACTGCTCGTAAATTAAATATACAATATTTGTTATTATAAAGCGTTTTTATTATATGTTCTATAGGGAGATATAGGCTGTTGGGTTATTTCCAACGTGATTCAAACTGGTAAAATTTTAAAACATAGAAAAATATGTATATTGTTAAAGGAAAATATATGTATGTTTTATGTGTGTAACTCCATATTATATGAACAATGCAGTAAGTTGTTTTTATTCACCACACATTTATTCATTAGTTCTAAATTTTGTTTCACAAAAGGTCTAATTTAATGCTCGCTCTATTCAGACTAAATTTATCTAGTTAAAATTTATGTGGCAAGTTAACTTATCTTAATATTTCTTACATGGCACATTGTGTTTGACACTTTATTTGGGAATTAATTAAAAACGATAATCACATGAGTTTATTGTTAATTCAGGCTTAAAAAAATTGAATTGCAAAATGCTAGTATTGAGCAGGTTTAAAATTAAACCCCAGATATAAATAAATTATATATTTAAACTTTGGGATGTACATCAGTCGACTTTCTCTTTTGGTAGTTTTCCTCTGAACCAAAGTATCAAGTTCTTCAAAGACAGAATCACAGGGAACATAATAGGTAGGAACAGAGGAATATAAATTGCGTACCTGAAATAATAAAAAAGTAAATGTACAAAATATTTGATTTAACAATAAGACTATAACAGTAAAACGTTTAAAATGTAAAATCTCAAACAGATATGAGAGTCAGACAGACCCAAAGACACCATCGCGTTGTTTTTCTTTTCATTCTAACTCATTACTATTTTGTCAATTGCATATTATCACTCTATATCAAAATATATTGCCAGTGAAGTTAAAGACAAATTTGTATTAAGTCCTAGAAAGTAAAATAAGAAGGATTATTTAATTCAAATTTCTCGTACGTTTTGTTCAAACTCAACAATCATAATTTAAATAACCATGTTGATAGACGACTTACTTCTGATCATCAGGGAAATACAACAGGGCCAAAAGACTGGGGTCCATAAAAGCTGTCTCAGCCGCAATAAAAGCCGTCTGCGAAGCCCTATAGGCCTCCAAAAGGCGTCCACATAACATCAAGTTCTTGGCATTTTGAATGTTCTGTACAGCTATGTTAATTGAGGCACCTACTTCTTCGTTTATTACTATGTTTGATATTTCACCTACAATGGAAATTTTGAATAATGTTTACAGTTAAATAATAAATTAATTAATGTAAGCTTGAAGAGCATAATAACAACCAAATAAGAACTGTAAAATAATACTAAAAGTATTATTTATTTTAGTTTTCGATACACATCAAAACTGAACTAACTAAAATGATTATGGCTATTTAGCAAACATTTGAAATTATATAATGTTTAATACGCTTGGCAGACTTCCCATACTTAGAACACTCAATAAAATCTGCTATTGACAAAACAAACAGTCAACATCATCCATTCCATGATAACTTTTGAATCGTATGTTTAAATAATTAAAAAAAAATAGGTACTTGGTGTAGCCTTATTATGAAGCTACGAAAAATGAGTTTGTATCGGCGTTAATATTCTAATTTTAACATGAAAAAGGTATCTAGTTATTGTGTCATAACTATATGTATTAGCTTGACATAATATGGTATTGCGGAATTTAGATCTTTTCGGATTTAAATATTGATGTCTTTTATAAAACTGAAGTTTCCAGAGCGAACGCGATACAAAGATTTTTATTGGTGTTTATCACATTACCGTGAAGTGTGAAGTTTTCATGCGGATCCCTAACGTTTTTAAACATATTCTACTGCCTTCGTTCATCAGGGATAATGTAGGATTCTAATTGTGAAATATTTTTTTAAATAAGTCCCGTGGTTTTGTAGTCTATCCCATGCAAACAATCAAATCTTTCCTCTTTACAATATTAGAGTAGATTTGTTTCCACAGACCACTGTCAAATTATAAATATAGTTATTATTTACCTAACAACTTAGCCAACGACTTCAAGCTCGTCTCAGCCGAGGTGACTTGCTCTAGGGTCCTTATTCGTAGAAGAGAATCGACCTCCCAACGCCTGGGCGCCACTGAACGAAGAGCTTCTAAGTTACCATTTTGTATTGATTCCTAGAGAATAAATTATTGTTTAAACATTGGTGTTAAATTTTGGAAATAGATACCACTATCGTGGATAAGTTTGTAATACAAATAATCTAACAGGCGACGGTGGATTCTTGTCGTATCTTTACAGGTACAGGGTTAGACAAAGTGCTGCCTGTCCTTGTAGCAATACAGCTGAAGAGACGGTGTAACATGTTCTGACCGACTGTCCAATGTATGGATACGAGAGGTATAACACCTAACAACAGTGTTGCCAGATGGTCTCGGCGACGTACCCCTAGTCTAATTTGATTTTCCCTCAGAAATCCCCTAGGATGCCCTCACCAAGCGGTACAGAATATTTTTAGTAAGTAAAAAAGGATGATCAAAACCCTTCAAATACAAAACAAAATAATTTTTGTGTAGTGTTATTACAGAATTTTCATGTAATTTTAGAATTTGTATTTAATTAAAATCACATCGTTCTTCGACAGCTCAAACGAATATACAATTAGTAAGGTTAACCACACGGATCCTATTTTTACGATGTGTTCGTACTTCAATTTAGTTCCAAAATCAGGTACGTGATATACAATAGCAAAAAAACTGTATTTAGCGTGTTTTTGAAATTTCTCGTAAAGAAACCCCCATATTCTTTCCCTATTCTGCCCCTAACTCGGTTGAGAAACCCATAAATCTATGGGAAAATTCTCTGATCTGACAACACTGCCGTACCAGCTATGGGAATAAAAGTAACAGAGACGAATTTAAAGGAAATAATGTTCAACATTAGGTTAAAAGACATCTTTTTGGGATTTTCTGTAAAGGTCATACAAAAAGTTGCTAAAAGAAATAAGGAGTAGTGTTGAATCATCCGGGTTACCAATACCATTTACGTAAGCTATTTAATACCTCCGACGACTACATAGTCGAGGAATTATCTCGAAAACATAATTTCTTTTATATTTTTTTATTAGATTCTAAAATAGAATTTGCTATAATTGTGAACTTAAAATCAAGATAGACATAAAGACTCTTTTGTGTCAGAATTCTGCCTCTGTGGGCTTTGTAGCAAGGAGGACGTATGAACAGGGCCTCGGGCCAGGGGACGTAGAATCGCTTCCCGCCGAAATATATTTTTAGGTTGCACTAGATGCTACAATCGTCCATTCGTGATTATATTTGATAAAACTTAACACAGTTTACTAACCTTATCAGTGATGCCAATAAGTTTTCTAAGATGTGCCAAAAACGTTCCCATGATCTGTGTGACCTTAGGTCGGTGTATGCCCTCTGCACATTCGTCTACTGTGGGTGTACCCAATACCACGCCACCCCATTTCGGTGACATGAACGCTTGGACTCGGGACTCGACTTTCTGGTCTAAATAATTAATTGTATATTGTAAAGAGATTTGCGAATTTTGTTCTTTTCCCTTTTTAAACATATTAAATCAATGTGTTTCTTTATATGACCCGATTTTAGAATTAATCAATAATTATGGATGTTGCTAAACATATTTTATGAAACTTTATTTTTATTTTAGCTAGACATGTCATGAAATTGTTATACAAGGTCATTCTAATAAATGACTAAATGCATAGGTATTTTATAATATGAACAAATATTAGCAAAGGAATCTTTATTAAAAAATTGTTACCTAATTGTTTACGGAAATATTTTTGTGTTCATGATATATATACATTCTTCTTTTTTAATAGATATTGGTATCATAGATATAGGCACTTACTATTGGTATCATAGATATAAGCCGGCGACATATCACACTGAGTGACATATAAAGCTAGGTTAACAGTCGGCAACTCCGACACATGAGTCGCGGCCCTTTCTTCCAATTTGGTTAGAAGCAAGTGTAGTCTTTCATGACGAATTGCGTAGTGGTATCCGACTTTTGATTTATCTATTACCTATGGTCAAATATATTAAAAAAATTAGTAAGTACCAACTAAATTCATGAAAAAATGTTTCCGAGCTTGACTAAATGCAGGGCAAATGAAATGTTACCTACATTTAGACAAGTCAAATGTACTCGTATAATGAACAGGGATTCGAAAAAACAATGTATTTTATTAATATTGTATAGTAGGTACTCGTAAGTAGCTGTAGGAATACCGTTAAGCAAATAAATAAATAAATGTCTACATACCTTTCTAGGTTGAAAATCAAAGTCCAGCAAATACAGCCATTGCGACTTGAGTGTGAAATTATGAAGTTCACTTAACTCGTCTACAAAGGAACCGATGTAATCTGGAAAAATAATAAATGAAAAATGTATAAAATAAATATATATATTTATAATTTCCAAAAAATAACATATTAAACTCATATACCATATCCCCTTATATCCTTTTATAATTAAAAACTTTATTCTATCATCTAAATTTAAACTTCACAGAATTGTTTTAAATAATATGTGTTGGGACTTGTAAACACTATATAAGACCATACTTATAAGCATTATATTCAAGCAACAATATATTGTCTTACATTAATTGTTGAAAATCGATTACACTTCATAATTAAGGCCTAGGATATTTTTTTATATGAAATTTTTGTATATCGCTGTTCGCTAGAAGATCCTTGACAGTTAAGCTCGGGCTGTATGACGAGCATAGCTATACCACTATACCAAAGTTAATCTCCATTCAATGGTTTTGTAAGCCAAAACAATAACGCGGTTCAATTAATAGTTCCGATAACAGCGCCATCTAGTTAGAAAATTGGTCATTACAGAACGATCGAAATAGTAAAACACTAGTAATGGTAATGAACAAAAAATACTGGTATTATTGTGAAAAAGCGTGCGTTGCTCGATAGACAAAAAAATGGCACAGAGCGCGCCACGCTTTTTCACAATAATACCAGTATTTTTTGTTCATTACCATTTTCAGCCTAAATTAGGAATTATTTTTCACTTTTTAATTTGATGTGCTTTAAAAGCGTGTTTTTTAGTTTTTTTAAACTATATTTATTTTACACTTTTTAGTCCTAGCAGCAATACGTGTTGTCTCAATTTAATTGTATTGCTTTGTGGACTTAAAAAAAATTTCATTGTTTTTTCGAGATAAACCTATGAAATTATTATATTGTCGCTGATTCTTTATAAGTGTACAAAGTTTGAATTAAATCTGTCCGTTTAATGTGGGTCAAAATCGAGTCCGAAGGAGTCGGTTACATACATACATACAGGTGAAGCTAATATAAAGCGTGTAAAAACTTTGGGACCATTGTAGCCAGCTGTCGCCATAGAAATTTTGCACATGGTCGAATGACCAAGCATAAACTATATTATTCACCTATAATGATGGTAATACTTTTACTGTTCTTCTTCACTTTAAAAACGTACCTTCTACTGCCTCTGCGGCATCAAACTCCACTTTCATCAAATGTGGTTTTGGATTAACAACTGACAGCACCACGTGATAGTCACTACTCGGAAATCGAACTTGTCTCGCCGCATCGGCCGATTCCGATCTGGCACCTTGAAGGACTGATGGCTCATAGATCCATTTGTCTAAAGCGGATACTAGGGTCGATGATGCTGCAAATTAATATTGTGTATTTTATTTGATTTATCAAACTGTTGTAGGTACTTTGCAGACAGGAATTTAAAATCATGTAAGTACCTTTCCCATCTCGAAAGAATACAACTCTCTCCGTCCCGACCCAAACGTCTTGAAGAAGTGGCGCCCTCTGCACTACATATAACGTGTTATGTTTCTGGTCGAAAGTGGCAGCAATCTCTTCTAGCGCTTCTTGTTCATCAATCACCGTGTCCAAGGTTTGACGAAGTGTTTCCGAGATGATTTGCTTAGTGACTCTAAGCTTTATTACATCTGAAATCGGTTATTCTTCGTAAAGTATTATTATAAATAAATTTCAGACAGATTTTTTTATGGAACAGGAGGCAAATGACTGTCACTTAATTTAAGTATTTACCGCTGACCATGGACAGTCGCAACACCAGGATGTTTACAAGTACGTTGCCGGCCTATAAGATGATTGGCGAGTTAGAATTTAACAATCGTACTTATTTGCAGAGCATTTGGGTGAATAGTCGTCTGTGCCTTCCAATACAAAATCAGAGTTACCAACAGCTATGGATTAGTTGTTGCGTACATTACAATGTACATACGATATACCTGACTGTGAAAATGCCTTCTGAATCTCTTTAGCCACATTCACCGCAGTTCGATCGTCGTTTGCGAGTACTACAAGGTCCGTTGTAATGTAGTGAGCCTCCGAGTCAAATGCATTTATTTTTTCGTATGGAAGCGATACCCTGAAGATTTAATGTATTTATAATAATAAACATCTGAAGGCACACACTTGCGGGAAATGTGTTTAAAAATAAACTTCACTATCATAGAGGTTCTTAATAAGAATCATACTTGGTATAATCTATAGGCTTGTCAATCCAATTACGTATTCTTGACAAGTATGGGCGTTACGTTTATTTAAAGTTTATTGCAATTAATTTTATCCAATCGAATTATTTATACTATATGTATACTTACATATTTTTCGTTTTTGAACATTTTGTGAACTCCTTTGCTGTTTAGCAATAAATATGCGTGTCTATTTACATATATAGATTTAAATAATCAACGACACACAAAAACTGACATTAGAAACCAAATATGTGACCTTGCAAGTTTCCGGACGCATCGGACTATCGAGATGATAACCCTTACGCACCCCGTCACATTATGCATTTACATAAAATTGATTATAACATAAATACATAATTGTTTAATTATGTATGGCTATAGATAGCTATATAAGTTGTCTAGATATAGCACGTTAAACACAAGAACACGTTAGACGATTAATATTCATAATTAATTTAAGAGATATACTTAAATGAAAACATATCACGTAATTAGACGTTTCGAGTGCTTTTTGACTTGACATGTTTGTCATAAACAGGGAACGTTAAAGATAATGTATAAATACGCTAATTAAAAATGAATATCGATTTATAACTAATAATTGTTAATTCTACGCGTAATAAATCTAAAAGAAGACATACCGAAACACTTCGGTTGTTTTCCACCACAAAGGTACACCGATGACAATCAATACGCCTACAAATGAAGCGCTCGCCCACATACGACTCCATTCTGAAAAACATAAAATTTCTAATGAACGTATGTATATGACAGAAGATAATTCAATACTATGCCGAAGAAAACATGGACATAAACATACCTACGAGTATGTCAGTATTCTAGTAGCTAGTTGAGCCTGTTACATTATGTAGGTATATAAAATAAATTAAAATAAGAACCTCTTTTTTTCGTTTGTTATGACAGGCAATTTATTTCACTGTCTGGGGTTACTGAGATCGAGGGTACAAAAAGAGGGACGCAATGGATCAATACTAAATTGCTAGGGGAAAACTGGTGGTATTCCTTTCATACTTTAAGTAAAAATGTATAAGTACTCCAATAGTGCTAATATATTTGTAACAATTAATAGCTTCGAATAAATAAATAAATATATTTATGTTTGATCGTGCATTAGAGCCTTGGAGCCGAGTTTTTTGTAGCCAATGTGAGGCCGACGGGGGCACCTAAATCTTATAATCGTATAAATTAATACATGAATTAACTTAATTATTATTTAGATTACTAAATTTGATTCAGAGTTGATAAGTTTTTTCAAGTTTATAACGTCGAGTTCAAAGCGCAATGTGATTGTAAATTGCACCTATAATTTTCTCGCGAAATACCTTGTGTAGTAAATGCTCCGAGGACCTTGTATTGAGGTCTCGCCTAGATATTCTAGATAGAATCAGGTATTTTTTTTTAAAGACAATTCACACCAATTGACCTAGTCCCATGCTAAGCTGGTGAAGCTTATGTTACGGGTACCTACTAGGCAACGGATATACATACATATTATAGATAGATAGACATATACATATTTAAACACCCAAGACCTAAGCACAACACCAAATGCTCATCACATCGATGTTCGTCTCAGCCGGGGATCGAACCCCGGCTAGGTATATTTTTATTTATACAATAATATATATATTTTTTTAAACAAATTTATTTTTTGGTGGTTACAAATGTTTAAAAATAACTATGTATTATAAAAGTTCTATTAAGGTTGTGCAAAAAAAATATTGAGAGTTTCCGAATACAACTTGGGTATGTACCGTGTTGTGTTTAAATTAAATAAGCGCAAGTCTGTCGCTCTCTATACCAAAACCGGAAAAGTAAAATGTTAATATTAATAGAATAATAAACACGTTGTTCATGATACATACCCATCATACCTACCTTTTACTCAATGAACAAGGCGTCAATGACGGAATGAGGCAGAGGCCACAAGTCAAGCATCTAGGCGAGTGTTAATTAAGAACAATATGAAACGGAGATTACAACGCAAAATGACATTCGATATACTTTAATAGTTCTACTACGTCGTTAGAATATACGCCTTTTAATTATCTGTGATATTCTAGACGGAAATACCAAAACGTTTGTCGCAAAGCTTAAGGAATGCCTTATCAAAACATAATTAATTTCAATACCATAGGTACGCTTAGAGTGAAATTTAAAAAAAGACTTAGTCAATATCCAATACATTTTGGATATAGCAGGGCCAGACTTAGCGATAATTGTCGCTTCTAAATCTTACTCTTATGTCTCAATAACATGATGTTAAATCATACTTTTGTGTAAGTAATATTTTACTAAATAAAATCAGGTCATCAATAATAGTTTAATTAAGATCATTAAAACCAACGATTTAAACGGCATATTTGCCTTAATTATTAATATTTATGTATATAACATTATTCTGATTACGTAAACTCTTATTTACAAGCCGTATGTCGTAATATTATTAATATTATATTTGCGGAAATATACAAATACTTCTTGAATACACATACTAATAAATATTAAAATTCAATACAGATTTGATAGTTTTAGTGGTCTGAAATCAACAAAATTGCTGTCTCTTTGGCAGAATAGATGTTTTCCAACTTTAAACGCTCTCGTCACTTTCATTTATGTCCTTTTCACAATATTGCAGTAATATGACTCAAAACTGAAAAGTTGATAATAATTAATAATTATACTTCATACAAAAACTCATTTACGTTGCGATGTTTTTATGGTGTGTTGAAGATTGAGGAGTTAGACGCTGTGATTGGTCAGTTATTACGAGCCATCTTACGATTATATTCTATCGTCAATGTCGACGTGCCTACAACGAACCACTAGTATTCTATTATATTAAGTAACAAGAAAGCATTTGTGGGCAAAGTTTGATATCCAATTCCAAAATTATCTAAACTTTTTACAATAATAATAATAATAGCACGTAATCTAATTACCGTACTAGGAAGTTATATGGGTTTCACATTTTCCTTATGACAAAATACCTCCAATAGTTTTAAACTAAATAAATACATATATCTTAATTACTAATTAGCAATTGCTGATTAAGCAGACTGACTATCACGTGAAATAATCGCTAAAACCAAGACACGTCGATGACCCATACATTAAAAAAGTAAACAAATACATACCCCTAGCCATCACGTGTGAAACTGGTTCTCAAAATATCCGTAAAACGCGGAACTTGCACCCAAAGTGACGCGTGCCTAGCTGCGGCTGTATGCCCCTTTGCCCACGCATTAAAAAAAATTAAAAAGGTAACCGTAAGCCAAACGCCAGTTTGCCTCACTCTCAGTCAACATTCGGCGCGCGTAGAGTGTAGACCTCATACGTGCGTGAAGACTTAAGTCCGTTAGTGTAAGTTTTGTGTAGTGGAAGCCGCAAAATCAACTCTATTTGGTGAGTTACTGAGATAAAAAAATGTCTTGGGGATTTTTTTATAAGTAATAACTCTAAAAAAATTCCTTTCCTGTAAATGCAACAAAATGTAGAATGCAAATTCGACATTGTCTTCTTATCAGCCAAAAATATTCGGGTCACGTTGTGGGCACTATAAAAGCTATAAAGTTTTGTTGATAACAATATCCTTCCCATAGAAAACGTTATCGTTTTAAAACACAAACTTAATTACATATAACTAAAATTTTGATTAACACCTGAAGCTGGATACACATGTGAGAACTTCTTAACTGTTATTTTACATACTCATGCGATTTAAAAACGTGAAATTGCAAATTTATAAATATTGTGAATATCGATAACATATACAATAAATGAAAATCGAACCAATGAAAATTTATTCCAAATAATTAACTACATAATATACAAGTTTTATGTTGTAATGTGTTGATAGTGTAATAATGCATATAAAAACAAACTTCTGTTAACAAAGCCAAAACGAAAAATAAAGAATATTCAACACCTAAACAATTCTGGTCCATTCGATTCTATTACGTAGCAATTTTCACCTTAATAACATCTCCCACTTCTATTGAAAAATAGGCTTCTCCAGAAACAATGCTTACTTTAAAAACACTTTTATCTAAATCTAATGAAAGTGAAAGATGATATGTCTTTTGCATCGTCTGATAATAATTTTTTTATCAAGAACCACTTGTTACAGGACTTAACTTCATAGTAAAGCATAATGAAAAAATACTTTTTATATTTAAAATTTTATTTTATTTCTGTTATTCTATATTATTAAACTAGATATTAATTAATTATTTTTTTATTATCTTTTTTGTATATAATTTATATTTATTTATAATTTGTTATCCTCATCTCTGCCGTGTCAATTAGAAGCGGTATACTGTCCTAGTGTCAGATCACAGAACAAGTCTGCATTAGGTCAGCAATTAGGTGCATGTTTACAGTTTGAAAAAGGTTTTTGTTGATGAATAACGTGATTAGGTCCAAAAGAGGTTGATACGTTCACAAAATATGAAATTACTAAATAAAAGTGTGAGGACTATGCGCCTTTGTGCACTTTGTAAACATTTTGAGTATTGTTACATCACTCTTGTGTTCGTTAGAAAATATTTTTCATAGCTAATACTTGAGGTTTATTGAATGTTTATGAATAAGGCGTAATAATAATAAAAACACATATAAAAGAAGCAATAACTGGACAAATCATATGTCTAGATTTTACTTTCATAGAAAATTACTTTCTTATACTAATGACTAGAGCCATGGCTATATTCATTCTGGTTTGAGTCAATTACTTATAATATAGTTTAACCTAACGGAAGTAAGTGTATGTGTTAGACAAAGACGACAAAACGGTCTGAAATCCTAAGAAAATATACAAATTTATGAAGCTGATTCCTGTACATCATAGATCGAACCAAAATTCAATATCGCACGTAAATAATTTAAAAAATAATGATTGCGTTCTCAGTATAATGTGTTGTATTATAGTATATTGCGTCTCTGACGGCTGTTTCTTCTAAAGAAATAAATACGACACCTGTGAATAATTAAGAAAAATATTCCTGAACTTTGGAATATTTTTCTTAATTATTCAGCACCGACTACCGACCGTTATTCAAGGCAATAAATTCTTAATATGTTACGTGTACCTACCTGGCTTAGTGATTGCTAACTTATAATTATATGATAATTACTTGGAAATATTGATCCTATTAGCTTCATATAAGTGCATATTAACGATAGTTCCAATCCGATGATGGAGCATTAAAATGCGTCTGAAATTATCCTTGACATTGTCGCCTTGCCTTTGACGCACGCCATATTTATTGAGTTACGTAATACGAACTGTAAGTTCATATACATTATAGATATTCTCAATAGAGCATTAACCCGCCACAAAGAAGCCAGTGACGGAATTTCTCCGGATGATATTTCCTTTTTATAAGGTTATCTGCATCTTATGGATCGATCCATCTATGAGATGAATAAAGTTCTTTGAAGACAGTGCAAAGAACTTTTACAATGCGTAGTTTTCCATGGAAAGAAAATGTTACTAAGCGTAATTTAACAAATTAGAGTGACATATAGTAGATTTAGCAGCAACTACGTCTAGTATTTTGGATATAGAACCATGCCGAGACTAGTATTAATCTTCATATATATAAGTATAATTCTGTCTTGCTCAGTTTCATGTTGCTAATGGTAGACTCTCCTGTCTATTGTATCAAAGAAGTGCTGATTTGGGATTGGGTACTGAAT